ACTCTTTCTTGAGATTTTTTCTCTCACAAGGGAGATCTTCCAAGTTGACACCTGAAAGATCTTTCTCCCAGAAAGGGCATGAATGAACACCTGTACACTCATGGTTTCTACTGAAAGCTATGACTTGTGGTAGAAACACAATGCCCATATGTGTCCCTTAATGACAGCGACTGTTACATGGTGAAATTGGAATGTTGTACATATGGGGATTTTTTTTTCGAAACACAAATGAACTCAAAGTTCTTACTGGCAAATTGAAGGACAATGAAAACAAGGCCTAAACTAAAAGGTTATAACATGCATATTATTTCAGGTTTAGATCAAAGTAAACATTAAAAAACTGGCTATTTTCTATACAGTAAAATATTAAAGATGATCTTTAGTAAACGATGAGTAAAAGTCATTTTAACAGGTGACCAGTGCAGTAAGCGATGTATTTAAGATGAATCAGTTTTAAACAAAGCAAGGTATGGCATTCCTCTTCTTTGCTGCACTTTCATATTGTTCCATATGCTAAATTTAGCAAACTTTTCCTGTTTTTGAGATCTATTTGAAAACTGTCACTTGTGAAAATTGCAAAGGTTTTATAAAGCATAAGTCATGAATCAGTACTTTACTGAACTGGATGTACTTTCTTTTTTCTATAGAACAAAAACAGAATAGACCAACATGACTATTTTTCAGATAGATTTAGTTGCTTTCAAAACAAGTTAATATCTTACAACACACACATTTTACATCTTATGTTTTAATTACAAAAAAGATATGATTTTAGAATACCATTAATACTATGATTTAAATTACTTGCCAGAAATACCTGTTCGAAAAGCATCACAGTATTGTCTTCCTTTTAAAATCTTGCTAATCTGCCATATCTTAAGAAAACATGACACTGCCAGAACTTTTCCAAATTTAAAAACACCAAATGTTTGATGTGAGACTATAACTATTGCATTTAGAAGAAAAACATTGTTCTAATACACTGCTACATTAAAATGATAAATTATTCATTCATATGGAGAGGCACTTTTATTTGTAGATTTACAATGATTATAAAATAATAATACATGCTAGCCACTTTGACTTGATTACAGCCCTGTCTCTGTAGTTAGGCCTAAAAATTATACCACAGTATTCCTGGAAATTTAATGAACAGGGATGAAAAACAAAATCTTTAAAAAAATCTTGAGTCTCCACAGCTGGGTATTATAACATTAGGATATGCATCATATCCTAATTTGGATACATATTATACATATCAACCTCTGAGGCCGCATTGTTGCTATTTTTATATCATATAAATCTAATTAAATATTTATTAAATTTAAATGGCAAACTCATTAATTACCCACTAGTTTTCTTCTAAAACTGGAAAAAGCACCAATAACAAATTTGCAGAATGATTTGGAATGCAAGGTCAGGGACGCCTTGCTGATTGATCCCAAACAGTTTCACTTTCTAACATCATACTTTATTAATGTCCACTGCTGTAAATGCAGCTAGGTTTCTTTTGGTAACCCTTTTTATAAAAAGGATAACATGCCCATGAGCTGATTCTTATAAAGTAAAACCACTCAAGAGCTGCCAATATACATACAACTTCCATCTTGTTTTCTCCTCTGCCATAACCTAAATAGCTTGACTACCACAAACAGTGCTATAAAGAATATAACCAAGGGCATTTAACTTATTTTCTTCATGTCAAGCCAGCTAAATGTCACACCATAAAAGACACTTGCAATTAATATTTTAAATGCTTATTATTATTATTATATCTTGAGGTAGACTGATTTCCAAAGAAAGCTCTTCTACACCTTGATTCGTTCATGACCAACTTCTTTTTGGATTCTCCTCCTCGGAAAAATCTTTCGTTTAAGTGCAATTAGCTGAAAAATTAAAAAGAAATTAGTATTTAGTTCTCCCCAGAAGCAGTAGGGGCTGCTCAAACTATGCTCCTCTGACCTCCATAAAACATCAGATATTTTATAGCAAATAACTACATGAGACTACACATTATATTTTTTCACTCCACAAGATGAAGGGAGCAATTTTGCGCACACATATCGATTAGGCTTATCTATTTTCACTGGTGCTGAATGACAGGGTTACAGGCAGACAGCACATAATGGGAGTTAATATTTTCAAGACTGATACTGTAATCTGAAAGCATATATTTTAATTTAGATATCTGGACCTTGCACACTGAATCCATTTATACTTCCTAAACCGCATTTTTAGTATAGCAGCAGTCCCAAAGTACCTACAAAAAGCTGCAAACTAACCAACGGAGCTGTGGGTAAAACTTTATGTTACCAAATAAAAACATAACAGGTAAAGCTTTTGAGAATCATGCTCCCCTCATAAGATCATAAAAAAAGGGAACAAAAGTAATGTAGTAGAATAAACAGATTAGATGCACAGGAAAAGAACAGGACCACAACAGCATCGTATGATTTCGTTTTTAAAATTTATTTTTTCATTAAATACAAAAGTACAAAAGAAGTAAGGTTCATCATCAACATGAAACATAAAAAGCAAACATAGTTTTCAGTAGCATGACAAATTGTTATCTAAGACCCTGATCCAGCAATTACATGCAATTAGTTCCACTGAGTTCAATGGGACTACTCATACGAATGAGAGTAATTTTATGTACCAAAGTCTGTAAAACTGGAGGCTATTTTTCTTGGGACCAATTCCAAAGCCTATCAAATTCAATAGGTCTTTTTAATTACTTCACTGGTCTTTGGTCCAGGCCTGTATCACCTTAAGAAGATATTGTCTGGATCAATTGAGTAGTACTTTCTTTTCTTCTTCTTTTTTTTTTTTTTTTTTTTTTTTTTTTTTTTTTTTACCTTTTGTTAAATGAGCCACAATTTTCAGAAGTGATTGGTGTTTTTAAGCACTCAACCTATCTTAATTTTAGCAGGCCTAGTATTCAAAAGGTGCTCTGCATCTGCCTTCTGAAAAAAAAACCAGGCTCTTAAAGAATCTTAAGTTAAACACCTAAAAAACAGAGGCAACCCTATAATCACTCTGAAAATTATGGTCATAGTATCTTCCATCCTTTATTGTTTAAACTTCTTTTCCACATATATTTTCTCTCTCATGAAACAATATTTCAATTACTGCTCTAATTCAGAATCAGAATTCAAAGCCCATTAGAATTAAAATTTACATTCTATTTAAGGTTGTTATAATGTAATAGAAAGTGTTATTTATCGGGATAAAATTATAACTTTTACCTGTTCAGCAAAAAATGAGATGACTGTAAACACTATCAATGTTACTAGAACACAGTGGGTCCAAAATTTTAGCTTGTCTCTGTAAGCCCTCCTGTACAAAAAAAAAAAAATGGAGATAGGTTTTGCAGATTAAGATTTATATTTTTGAATCTAATACATTGCATGCTCTCCAAGGTTCCATGAAGTAAAAATAGTAGAAAAAGAGAAAGAAGGCACTGTTGTATAACAACAATTTGCTACTATATAACTTCTGGTTTAAAAAACAAAATGCTTATTCGCTATGTGTTCCATATGATCTGTGCATTTTCTTTGGTTCCAAAGCATCACTTCATCAGCAGCATGCTGGAATAGCTCTTGGGCTATATTTATATTGGTCTTAAATCTGAAATTAAGTGCTATGCCTAAACTCCACAGTAGCTAAAAATGGATTTCTATCATTATTTGGTGTATCGGACTTAGATTTTGGTGAAATGACATGCATCTTTTCAATCTCATACCAGGCATCTTGAGGGGATATAATCTGCCCAACCAATTTCCTCCTGGGCTAGGCTAAGATAGCGATGCTGGATCTGGCTCTGATGACACCTTCTGCCTCTTTCGGCATCTAGTTTGAATGCATCTGGCTTCTGAGTTTGGGCACTTTGCCCTGAAGCAAAACATGGACCAGAATGCATCCTGCTAGGCCACTGTGTACAGTAGAGGAGCCAGCTGGTCTTTGAAGTGTAATCATGGGTGTGTGGAAATGAAGGCAGTCTAAGCATTTTTCTCATTCTTACTCTATTTAAATTGTTCTTCTTTAGTTAAGGTTTGCTTTCAAGACTAGCCCCACATGGGGTTCGGTGCTTTTAACTGGTTGTTTTTTAAAACGCTTTTTAACTTTTTTATATTAAAAGTTAATACAAGTCCAAACTCTCAGTCATCATCAAAACTAAGTACATCAAGACAACATCTAGAAACACAGAAGCTACACTAATAAGCTCTAATGCACTGGGTTAGATACCAATACAGGGCAGTAGTTCACACAACCTGAAAGAGAATATGTAAAATTTACCATTCCTGAAGTTCATGCATATGAAGGAAACGGTTCCGATACTCTCTTGGCAGCTCAAATTGGGATGGAATGGGAAACATGGATTCATAAAAATCTCTAAGTACAGCTTTCACTGTCTGAGCATCCTTATGACTGTGATCAATATTGTCATTTAGGCAAACAAATTTTCTAGAAAAATAATAAGACACTGTTAATTTGATTTTACTAAAATAAATATTTTATTAACAAGTAAAGAATGCAAATAGTATTGTTCGTAGGTACAGATAAACTAGAATGTATGGAGCAACATTCATTATATTTGCATAATATCAAATAAGCCTTTTAGATGTCAATGGTCTGGGCCTTTCCAGATTCAGCTTAGCACAAGTCAGTGTTGTTCCTAACATGCTTGCTACACTTGCATCTTATCTTGTCTATGATTAAAACTGCCCTCTAATTGGTACCAGTGTCTGCCATCTCATACCATTTACTGAATGCAGACTACAGAAACTGGAAGCCATTTACAACACTAGTCAGACTAGTTCAGAGGCTACTACTAGCTTGTTTTATTTCTCACAGTAAGATGAGCAGCAAAGTCAATTTCACTGTATAAAGGTGTTAAGACTACTTTACCATTGACTTCATAATTTTGAGAACCTCTAAGTAAAATCATGGAAGGCAACAGGGTTACTAAAAGCAAAATTTGGCCTTGAGATCTTTGACTAAGAAAGACAACATAAGCCAGAGAGAACTTGACTTGTAAATCCTAGCCTGACCCTGCAGTACTATCAGACAGAAAAAAAACCATACTGTACATTTTTTTGGTAAACTGGGCAGAATTAACATTTACTGTGACCCAATGAATATGGATCCAATGTTATACAATATCCCCTGCGTTGAGTCACCTTTTCAGAGTAGAAACACCAAGATTCAAGGTACTTCAGGTTTGGTGTAACTAAAGAAGCATGCAGTGTACCAAACAACTATGTATCCTTGGCCACTCTGAGCCAGTGTTTGGCAGCAAAAATGCCCTTTCCCTCTTATGGACAAGGTTATGTACCCTATTTATACTGCAAGATACAAGAGCCTTACTTTTTCCCCAGAGGGAGAAATCATATCTGCTAACATATGCCTTGAAATTGCTAACCTTTGGAAAGAAATAGGCTCTAGTCAGCTGCTGTAGTCTGAATAGTATGATGTGCCCTTTCCAAGAGTTTAGAAAATATTTTTCATTTACGTAGAACCTGTCATTTCAAAGAGATGGTTCAGACTATCCACATAAAACTTCACTACCAACATGCTGGTCTCCCTGGGGTGAAGGAGTTTACCAAAGCCTTTATACTTTGCCCATCACTACAGAATTAAAGCTGGAGCCAAGATAATTGGCTCACACTGCTCTCTCTACACCAGTGGTTTGCAACATTTTAAGATGCAAAGGCACCCCTTGTTAGACTTGGGGGAGCTTTTGGAAAATGCTCTTAGTTTTAATTTGTTTTTTAAATAAAGAAAAACAATAGAGCAATTTTTCTGGTGCAGAGAGCTCAGAAAGATCACAACAGAGCAAACTGTTTTAAACACTGTGGATTCCTATTTGAAATTTCTGGGTTTATCTTGTGAATTGTGCTTGTATACCTAACAGGGCTAACATTGTGGCATGCTGCGGCACCCTTGAAAGGATCTCACATCCCATGGTGCTATGGTCCCCTGGTTAAGAATCTCTGCTCTACAAAATAGTGTAAAGGAAAGAGATACCTTGTCCAATTAAAATGAGGCAAATTACTGGGATACTAAATACCAGCCAAAAACAGAAAGCACCTTTATTTTTTAAGGTTTTAAAAACCTGACAGTCTGACACTGTCACAGTCAAGTGAACGGAATTTTATTTACTACTTTACAAGGTGGAAGTTGGCTCAAATTTTGCCAGGATTTGGAATCTAGAGTTCTAGTCATTCTGAATATTTCAAAACCAATCCCTGTACCATTTCACTCGTTCCTTGAGGGACTCTGTGAAAATCTTTACATTGGTTAAGCTCATAAGATGAAAGACACTGCGTAAGTGCTTTACAAATATGATTATGATGCCCATTTTACATGTGAAGAAAGCAGGGAGAAATTAAGTGGCTTGCTCAAGCTCATGTACTGAACCAGTGGACAAAGTAGAGCTTCATATTAATTCTATGCTCCCACTCATATATTGTTACGGTACTCTAGAAAGTCAAAAGCAAAGTGAAGAGAGAGGGGACAAACTACAGGCTAATATTTAACATTGCGTTCTGCTTTCTTTTTCCTGCAAAGCTAACTGTAGTTGAGGGCACCATATGTATTGCTCTACTGATTTTGTATCAAAAAGTCTCAAAAAGTACCTCTGAAGTGCTCTAATCTTCAAATACTATAATTTAAAAAGGAAAATACATATAGGACATACCCCAAAGAAGCCTATTCTTTAAAGCCTGCAATAAGCTTTATACCCTCAAGAGTCCAATCCAGAAATGCAAGTCTTAGTAGTAACTGAAGTTTGCCGCTAATTTTAAACATAAAAAACTTAAAAGAAGTGAATGTTAAAAATCCCATAGTGCAAAAGAACAATTTTTATTTATAATTAAGAGCTCAACTTGATTTTTTTTATTCAAGAAAAAGCTGTTTCTATTCAGGATTTCCTTACAGCTAGTAAATATAAGTTTTATAACACCCAGCCATTTGATGTATTCTAAACAGGAAAATAAAAGCAAATCTTAAAACAAAGTATATATCAAGAAGTTTATACCTGGGGTTTTTCCTTATATCATCTAGCTGACCAACTACATGAGAAACATTGGTGCGGATCATCTTGAAGGCAATTTCTTCTTCTCCCATTATTTCAAACCTTAGTGTTAGTAAAACAATTTCTAAATTAGTACAAACTGGATTTTGCAAATATGATGTAATCTTATATATTAAATGCCTAACTTATTTGCCACTCTATATTTGATTGGCTATTTTTCAAACGGTTTATCATTTAATCTCCAAGTTTTTACTCACTACAGCTGGTGCTCTTCTGCACTATTTTCTTATGGTTATCGTTTTTTCTTATTACCCTGTTGTAGCCCTCATCTCTCCTTACCTCTGCCCCTTTCTAATGGTTATCACTATCTTATCTGTTATGTCTAAAAAGTTGATAATACAGGGATTCAGCTTTATAGAACTGCAGGTTAACAGAATCAGCCGCTTATTTGAATCAATATGGGAAAACCAAAACCATTTGTAGATTATTACATGTAAAAATCGCTCATATTAGAATCATAATTTTCAGTTTCTGGAATCATTTTACCAGAGAAGCCTGGAGATTTTGCAGTTTTGTGAGGAGCCCTCTGCAAGCTGGCAGAGTTCCAGCCTGCAGGGGGCTGGGAGGAAGCGGGAAGAGGGTGGTCAGGCAGGGGGTGCCGTGTGCATGTACTGAGAGAAGCTCCTGCAGTTAAGTGTGGGGAGGACGGGGGACGGGACTGAGGCCCTGTAGGGAGAGAGGGAGCTGGGCAGGGCTAGGGCCCCAGTAAGGAGTGAGACAGGGCTGCAGGCAGCTTGTCCAGGGGGCAGGAGCTGGGTTTCCTGGCAACGCACCCCTTGTGTGAATGGTAGCTTTGAGGGGTGCAACCCTATGCTGCTGCCCTCGCCTGCCCCCACCCCTACCCTGCCAAATATGGGGGGTGCAGGTTCCCCCCTGCCCCTCTGAGAAGGTACACTGCACTGGGAAGCCGGCCCCACCCCCTGTGTCTGCAGCAGCAGGTGGGGAGCCAGGCTCTGCTCCGTTGCAGCAGCCACTGCCTCCTGCCAGGGGAAGGGGGCTATGGACCTGGATCCCTGGCCCCATAGCCCCTGGCAGCTGGGGACCCCCTCTGACAGGGCTGGGGGGGGCAGGAGACTATGGGTGGGGGGTGAGGGGCACCAACAGGGCTGTGAGAGGCATGAGCAGGGCCAAGGGGCTGTGAGGGAGGAGTGAGTATCTGTGTTCTTAAAAAAAATGGGTCTCCTTTTACTGGAATCACCTGGTTGATGGAATCAAATCACCACTGCCCAAAGTGATTCCAATAAGAGGAATCCATGTTTTTATTTATAATTCTGTTCAGTGCCACCACAAGACATGATTATCATTATCATCATCAAAGGTCAAATGTGACCTTTCACTTCAGCTGCTCTATACAGCAGGGGTTAGCAACCTACAGCCTTCAGGCTGGATCTGGCCCATGGAACCTGTGGATCTACTTTGTGGGCATGGGGCTTTGGTGGCATTCGGCAGTGGAGGGCGCCCTCTGTGGTCACTCTCCCCAGACCACTGCCACAGGATGAACACTCGCAGCAGATTCTCTCCTCATGCTTCTGTGGGGAGAAGCACCAGTTCTGGGAACTTTCCCTGTGTGGATGTAGAGACAAGCAGCAGTATGTCATGCTGCCTACCCTCCCACCTCCAGCCTGCAGCCAGAAACAGTTGTTTATCCTGTTCCATAGTATCGCTGCCCTAGTAGGAAGATGAGACTGAGGTCCCTGCTCAAGTAGATTTACAACTGCCACCTGCAAACTTAGGAGAAGATCCTTTGTACCACACCAACAGTCCTCAGTATGAGTCACTGCTGCACGAGATTGATTTATACAGACATCTTGAGCTACTTGGCTCCTGGCTGCATAGCTCGGAATCAAAATTTGGCCCCAGGAAGAGGAATTGGGCTAAATATAGATCATTCCTTGAAATATGTTCAATATAGAAAATTTAGATTATTGAATAGTATGTTATCACTAAAATTGAAAAATTCCAGATCATTTTAGACAATGAAACATACATAAATATTTATCATTGCTGTCTTTTCTCCAGGTCATTTCTGCTCAAGTGCCATTGATAATAACCTTTGGATTAATTCAACATGTACAATGTATTTGTACCTTATTAAATGTTCCTATCCTATAATAGTATTGTACCTTACCTTTTTAATGTTACAAATTTTACAATTGTTTTTATAAGAGTAATATGACATACCTATATTTGTTTTTATCCTTGTATGCCTTACGAATTCGGTCAGTCACAGGCTTACAATTAGTCACTAGGTTTTTGGTCACTGGAGGCTGTAATAAAACAAGTATTGGCTCAATACACTATATTCTTAAAAGCCTGTTGGAAAAGCTAGATATTATAAAAAAGAAAAAAAGAGGAAAAACAACCCAAACTACCAACTGAAAACTACCAAAAAAATTGCTTTTCATTTTAAGAGCAATAACCATTTGTTGTTTATGTACTGTGAAAAAACATTCTGCTGCAGAAAAAGAAGGAATTTTGATAATACCAATATTATATGAAGTAATAGGTTTCTGACAAAAATTGATTCCCCCCCACCTCAATACACTATTTACCAGTTGTAGCTGGCTAGACAGCTGCTGTAGGCATTCCTCTGATGCAGGCCACTCAATGCCAACCAATAAAATTGACCAGACAAGCTCTGAAGAGCAGCTGGTAAGTATTAGCTTTATTATTCCTAGCATGAACTATTTTAAAAGAACAATTCTGGGAATCAAATCTCTATTCTCAAGGGAAGTTTTCTACAAAGCTAGGATCATTGCTAGAAATTTAGCCTTGAAAAACAACAAAAATAAAACTGAATTCTGTCTGTACTAAGCCAAACACTATTATGTTGCTATTTGAAGTGGTCTTAAAAATGATAATGTTAGTACATTATGAATTAGTGCTTAGATTAGTAACATGTCATTAGCTTTCCAAAGGGATCAAAATAATTAAACATTGTTTCTAACTACTCAGATTTACTTTTAACCCTATATCAAGCAAGTTTATTGAAACTATCCCTTATTATGTCTTCCTTCAAAGTTTTACCTCGTTGGTAAATCTAGGAATTGAATCTTTGAAAGTGTGAGAACTAGACTAATATGACCATAAAGGTGTGAGACTTGCAAAGACAAGTGAAACATTCTGGGCTGTGTTGTCTCTAATACTGGAAGTCTTCTCAAATCTACATTTCCATTTTTTCCTCTTTCTGCCCTGATCTCCCCACCCTTCATCCTGGAGGTGCGGGGGAGGGGCCAGGGGGGGAACACTGTGGGATACTGGAGGACCCATGGGTTCCTTGTTGCACTCTGCAGAGCATGCACACGCAAGAAGCAGTGAAGCACTTCTAAATAATACCTTGTTCCAACAGGTACTCTTGGGAGTGCTTTGGTATTTTTAGAAGGCTTCAAAGGGCATGTGAAATGCTTGAAATGTGACACCTGTCTGCTGTCTAAGGTCCCATTTTTAAAAATGACAAGCACTGAAAACCCAAATCTCACTGAAAGTCAATGGGAATTACTCAAAAGTCTTGAAATTACATGGAAGGCACTTTATGACTAGGTACACACAGTGCTGATCATTTTGCTGTACAGGAGATACCATATTTACTCAAATATTAAATGAAGTCCCTCCCCTCCCCACATCAACATGGGGGGAAAAAGTCCTTCATCTTACATTTGCATACAATAAAACAGCATTAAATACATTGCCAATCTTTGAACTGAGCAGCATGTGCTCAGTAATGGAAACCAACTAAGAAGCTGATTAAATGTAGCCAATACTGACCATGACTATATAACACAAGACCCATAAGGGACAAACATACTGATGGGAACCTAACACAAAGATAAGTTAGTTCGTACACTCCATCTGAATAAGACATAAGATAGTGCTCATTGAGCACAGACCCCCTCAGAGCCAATTCTTTTTCAACTGAACCACTACACTGCATACATTTTGATGACTTCTTCTCTCGCACAGCTGAGCTGCGCTTTTTTTTCCTATTCTCAATTATACCTTTTTCTTCACCAGCCTTAAATGCCTGGCAGACATCATCAAACAGCCGCAACAGTTCACCCAGAATCCCTCTGTTGGGCCCTCCCTCAGCCTGCTGCATATGATTAGTGCGGCCCCACCATCCATGAGGTGAATCTCAACCTGGTTTATATGAGCCTCATCTGCATATACATTTTTAGAGGACCCCAGATTCATGACAAGAACACCCAGTTTCAGTCATGAGTGGGAGGAGCGGGTGGCAATTAGCACTTGGCTCCTTTGTGGGGGGTGGTATCTGGAGTACACACACACTGTGCTGTGCTGTGGGCACACCACAGCCTGAAATGCTGTTCACTCTGCTGGGGTCCAGCACGATGAACTATACAGTAAATCATGAGCCTTTTGGCTTTAGACTAATATCATGTAAAGTTCATATTCTCCATAAGCAGGTGCTCAAGTGCTACTTAAAAGTGTGTTTATGGAATAGCTCTGCTAAAACCTGCAGAAGTTTCCAAAAAGGTAAAATGCATCATTTCTAGCTGAACTAGTGTCTAAGGGCATTATATGCAAATTCCTACAGCTATGTTTATTTTAAGATCAGTTTTTTCATATTTATGCCTCACTTCCATGTGCTCAGGGAGAGAAGGATCTGACAGTAAGGGGCTGTGGGGGACAGTGGCTGCAGGGGGAAGAAGGTGGGGGGGGCAAAGGGGTCACCTGACCCCCCAGATTTATCTTCCCTCCTCTAGCAGAAGGTTGATAAATTCAAGACAAAACTTCAATAATTAGATTCTATACCTGGAAAATTATATCAAATTAGCAGCAAGGGAAGATCAGGAAAATGTAAGTCCCTTACTGAATAAGGGAGGCAACCTACTGACAGATCACGAGAAACAGGCTGAAGTACTTGATGCCTTTTTTACCTTGGTCTTCACAGGCAAGGTCAGCTCCCAGACTACTGCACCGGGCAGCACAGTTTGGGGAGGAGGTCAGCAGCCCTCAGTAGTGAAAGAACAGGTTAGGGACTATTTAAAAAAGCTGGACGTATATAAATCCATGGGCCCATATGCCATCTGATGGTGCTGAGGTGATTGCAGAGCTCCTGCCCATTATCTTTGAAAACTTATGGCAATAAGGGGAGGTCCTGAACAACTGGAAAAGAGCAAATATAGTGCCCATCTTTAAGAAAGAAAAGAAGGAGGATTTGGGGAACATTAGACTGGTCAGCCTCACCTCCGTCCCCAGAAAAATCATGGTGTAGGTCCTCAAAGAATCCATTTCTCCACTTGTAGGAGAAGAAAGTGATCAGGAACAGTCAGCGTGGATTCACCAAGGACAAGTTATGCCTGACCAACCTGAATGCCTTCTATGATGAGATGACTGGCTCTGTGGGTATGGGGAAAGCAGTGGACATGATATACCTTGACTTTAGCAAGACATATGGTCTCCCATAGTATTCTTACAAGCAAGCTGAGGAAGTATGGGTTGGATGAATGGGCTGTAAGATGGACAGAAAGCTGACTGGATCGTCAGGCTTAACAGGTACTGATCAACAGCTCGATGTCTAGCTGGCAGCCAGTATCAAGTGGAGTGTCCCAAGGGGTGGTCCTGGGGCCTGTTTTGTTCAATATCTTCTGTAACGATCTGGAAGATGGGATGGAGTACACCCTCAGCAAGTTCATGGATAACACCAAGTGGGGGGGAATAGTAGATACACTGGAGGATAGGGCCAGGATTGAGTGACCTAGACAAACTGGAGGATTGGGCCAAAAGAAATCTCATGAGGTTCAACAAAGACAAGTGCAAATTCCTGCACTTAAGATGGAACAATCCCATATACCACTATAGGCTGGGGACTGACTAGCTAAGCAGCAGTTCTGCAGAAAAGGACTGGGGGTTACAGTGGATAATAAGCTGGATATGAGCCAACAGTGTGCCCTTGTTGCTGAGAAGGCTAACAGCATATTGGACCGAAATTGTAGGAGTGTTGCCAGCAGATCAAGGGAAGAGATTATTCCCCTCTATTTGGAACTGGTGAGGCCACATCTGGAGTACTGTGTCCAGTTTTGGGCCCCCCACTACAGAAAGGATGTGGACAAGTTGGAGAGAGTTCAGTGGAGGGCAACAAAAATGGTTAGGGGGCTGGGAGATTTGACTTGTGAGAGGCCGAGGGAACTGGGCTTATTTAGTCTACACCAGAGAAGACTGAGTGCAGATTTGATAACAGCATTTAACTACCTGAAGGGTGGTTCCAAAGAGGATGGAGCTAGATTGTTCTCTGCGGTAGCAGATGACAGAACAAGGAGCAATTCAGTTTCAAGATGCAGCAAGTTTCGGTTGGATATTAGGAAAAACTCTCTCAAAGAGGGTGGTGAAGCACTGGAACAGAGATGATGGAATCTCCATCCTTGGAGGTTTTTAAGGCCCAGCTTGACAAACCCTTGCCTGGAATGATCTAGTTGGGGATGGTCCTGCTTTGAGCAGGGGGTTTGATGACCTCCTGAGGTCCCTTCCAACCCTCATTTGCTACAATTCTATGCTTCTAAACTAATAAATTTTCCACATAAGGAATCTAATTATTGAGGGGCTGTGTTATAATGAGGGTCATTTTATAATTGAGTAAATGTGGTACTTCAGGTCAAGACTTGCTTTGTGCTGTCAGACACCTTTGAGAGGCTTTCTGCACACTGCTTTCTCTGGTCTACCACATACTGAATTACACTGAAGAGTTTTGTTTTCCCCCCTCCAAAGGACACCCTGTATAATACCATGCACACAAGTTGTTCTGTAGCAATCATAACTTTGCATTCTTCAGTTTGGGGCTGTCCAACTGGTGACCTGAAGGCAGCACATGGTCTGCAGGTTAAATTGCAGCCTACATAACTTGTTGGGCATGGTTACTGGAGCTGTTGAAGTAGTATGGCTCTGGAACCCAAAATGGTGAACACTGCCACTCAGCCCTCTCCAACTGCTTGTCTAGCACTGAATTTTGCATCTTCAGTCACGATTGACAAACTAAAATTGGTGGTGGGAGGGGGCAGAGGGGGACCAGAAGTGGCATTTACCCTCTGGGTTCTAGAGTGTGCCAACAAAACAAATCTGGCAGAAGTGCCAACAAGACACTGCCCCACTGCTAGAGGTAGGTTATGCAGCCTGCAAGAAGCCCCGCAGTCTTGATTTACCCACAAAGTTAAATGAACTGGACACCACTAGCATAGCTTTGTGGAGGATCATTCTAAACTAACTGTTAGTGGGTTGCTTATAACAGCTTTATAGTTAACAGTGTACTATGAAATATGCACAAATATTATTTTTTCTCGTAAATAATTTGTCAGTATGATTTGGGGAAAAAAACACAACTAGAATCTGGTGGATGAGGGCTTTGGAAATAATCCAAAAAAGTACATCTTTATAGGCAAAAGTTATTCTTACCAGATTGGGATCATAATAAGCTTCCTGTGTTGGTGGAATGACATTAATCTGAGTTATATTAGCAGGAAGTGATTTAGAGCAATTTATCAGCATTTGCTCCAGACTCGTCAAATCCTGTCAGAAGAAAAGAAACAAATTCATAACCCATTTTTCTGCTGACCTATTTCAGTAATTATACTATGCATTCTATTATATTACATCCTTCTGCATTCAGGATATTTAGAAATCTTTAAATTATCTACAAAAATGAATCTGACGGTTTCTGAATGAAAAAGACTTATTCATATTGGTCCCCAATTTAAAAAAAAAAAGGTATAGAAGCAATCTTACTAATGTCAAAGTAGTTACGCACACACTAGGCATGTACTTAAGTACTTGGTTGATTCATGGTCATAATGAAGTACAACCAAAGCAAAGGAAACCAAAGCCCTGTCTCTTTAAAAGCAAAGAAAATTGCACTATTGTTGATTTCAGGAAAATACAAGTTTTCCCAATTTGGAACCTGGGACCTGAGGAAGAATGTCTTGCATTCAAAAACTTGTCCAACTTTATCCCAACTACAGAATTGGTCCAATAAAAGATATCACCCTAAGGAATATTTGCCTCTTGCATAATTTCTGGACCATGACAGCTACAATATCAATCTTATGCTATCCCAATTTGAAATAATTTAAGTCCTTCATGTGCTATTCTGAGGACAAGTCATTTAATGCCCTTCTCAGTTCACCATCTGTAAAATACAGAAAATACACATCTCTCTGCCACCCACCTCTGTATGTATTTAAGAACTGAAGTGCTTCAGAGAAGATTTCCTCTCCCCGTATCTCTCTTTTTTTTTTTAATTGTATCATGCCTAGAACAACTTAGGGGCCTAGGTCTCTGGGTACTGTTGTCATTTAGATATCTGCTACTACCACCACCCTCCATAACCTTCCTCCTCTTTTTTACCGCCTCTTCACAAGCCTTGTTTATTTATACTGTAGGTTTTTTCTTGGGGCAAGGACTCTTACAATGCATATGCAGAGATGTGACAATAGCCTCCCACTCTGAGCTGGGACTTCTAAACACAACATAATGTAAAGAAGCGCTGTCCATCTTCTGAGTAGCTGGGGGCTGCATGCCATGCTGCTGTTGCTTGCCCTGCCTGGCTACCGGTGCTCCCCCAACCCCAGCAAGCTGCCTTGTATGGGTGCCCCCAATCAACATATTCTTCAGGTTATGCTAGCTGCCCTAGGGGCAGGGGCAAGAAACTGAAACTAGGGATAAAGCAGGAGCCCAGAGACCCTATCAGCAGCAATAGCAAACAGAGGCATAGCAGCGCAGCTCTGCATCTGAGGCAAACTGTGGCAGTGCCAGCTCTTGCCATGCCAACTGTGATCAGCTGCCTCTGTGGCAATGACTACTTTTGCATTCTCACACAAAGTCACCGCCCTGGGCTGCTACCCCTGTCCTCAGCTACTGACAGTGGCAACCAGAGTAATGAGGGTGGAGGGGGGAAGTGGTGCTTGGAGTCTGCAGGCCACAGCTTAACACTTTGTGAACTATAAGTTGGACAGCCCTGAGGTAAAGAATAAGTCATTTTGCATAGTATAACATATGCAAGCTAAACACTCCATTCAATTCAAAGGATGATGAACTGCTCTTCAAGTACACCTAAAACATCAGTATTATTTTACCTAAATTGGAAAAAAGCATACATTAAAATTCCATTGTACGTTTAAACTTTTAACAGAGTTCCAGCAAAGAGTAAAGATTTGTTTTTCCTGTGTGGTAACTATATTGGAAAATAAAATGTACCTGCAAACTCAAGGGCAGTTCATGGATTCGTGTGGCCAATGTACGAATCTCCCTGTCAGACAAAATGCCTGACTGATCTGTATCAACTTCATCAAAAATCTGAGAAACATTCAGTGGCTGAACTGCACTCATGAGATAATAGAAATATGAAAAAGCAAACTGCATATCTTCCGAGTGCCGCACTTTGTGAAATGATGTCTTGTCAAATTCCTCAGGAAACCTGTCCAAATCAAATAAAAATCAGTTTCCTATTCTGACACTTCAAACAGCAAAACATACCTTAACAGAAAAGCTCCCCAAAGAACACTTATCTTAGCACTGCTGTCCCATAAAGACATGCTTTCTTTCCCATTTCACACTGTTTTACAACAAGCCGTCAATACACAGCAATAAATTCAACTGTGCAAACACAGAAGAAAAGAATTGCACCAGCTCCAGTTTTTCTTTCACTTTGTTTCAAACAAAAGCATACTTACATGTCCTGTAGCTCTTGCATAACAGTGCGGTCAATCATGTGAGGCATATGAGCAGGGACTTTTCGGGATGTAAATCCAAATTTACTGTTTAGAAGTTTATTTACATATCGAAGAGAATCGGCAAACGTATCTTTCAGATGCCTCCCAGTTTGTTTACCATCAGTAAGGTAGGACATCTGTTTAAGTAATGCCTCTTCTTCCTAAATAATGACAGGCATATACCAGATGTATGTTATCAGAAACACAAACATTAATCCATTAAACCCAGATGCAGACTGACATTTCCAGGGACATGCCAAGCTTTTTACAATACCTGAAAAATATGACAGCAGTTTTAACATGTTCTTGTTCAAAAAGAACATCTTAAGGATTTAAAATGTGGCCTCATCCTTATGTCCTTATCACAATAAGGAATGACGTACAGAATTTTATTTAACTTGATACAGCTTAAAAACAAAAGCCCAATTAAAACCACCATCTGCTAAGGGACTTATTTATAATCACACATTTCTTTTTCTGATTATGCACTGAGTTAACAAGATCTGATCCCCTGAATGTAAAAACAATCTTCTTAAATAGAGTGCAATCAAAGATTAAGCTCAAATGAAAATAAAGAGAGCTTAAATTTTAAATGCAGCATCTCTACGGCTTGAAAGCTGTAAGGATCAGTCTTAGCCAAATAGGTCTGTAGGGCTGCCATGTCCTTCCCTTCAGGAGATACCCTGCCAAAAATTTTGGGATGAGCATATGGAAGAGTGTTTTCTACATATTCGCTTGATCTGTTCTTCATATTAGTTTTTGGTTGACTTACTAGAAAAGGCACTCAATGTAGCATATAGATTCAAAATAGAGATTGCATTTTTTAATAGATTAGATTTATATAGAAATGAACTAAGTCTTCACATATACGGTGCATCTACACGAGACTACTGTAGTGTTGACTAATTAGCTCTGCAGTAAAGCAGCAGCATCTACATGTGCACTACTACACATACTGCAGTAAACTAACCAACTCTGCCATAGGATAGTACTTCCCAACAGAAGTACTATCCTACAATAGCGTTATTTACAGCTGCCTGCTGACTAGCTCTGTACTATAGCACCCCTGTGCCCCAGCCAGCCCTTCCGTAGCGTGTTATGCTGGGGGGCTGGGCAGGGGGGGAAACGGCTCCAGGCTGGAGAGCTAAACCCCCAGAATCCCTGCTCGCTGGGGCTGCGCTGCCCTGGCTTAGAATTCTGTAGTCCTCAGTGCACGTGTAAATGCTATGCCCAGGAGGAATAAACTCCAGCCCGAACTGTGCCAAAGTTTAATTGTGTCGCATTAATATCGTGTAGACACGCCCACAGAATTTAAATGAGGATCAGTTCAACCCCCTGGCAGTGCTACAAATCTGAGTTGCAGCCTAGTGGCACTTCATTAAAGTAGGAACTGAATCTGACTTTTTAAAAGACAACTAGAGAAAGAAGTGAATTAGACCAGTCATTTTTCACCATCCAACTAGAAGTACAGAAAGTAAATGAAACTAGCAGTAAAAAGAAAGTAAAGTAAATTAGATTTTAAAAAAATCTGTCAAATAGCGGTAAGAATGGTTTTATACAATTTTTATCTTAACAGTATCTCATTAAATAATGCAGATAAGCAAATCTAACAAATCTTTTGAAGCTACAAGTTCTATTTTGTGGATGCAATTAGGATACTTACATCAAGAAGATCTTGGAAATACTTTCTTTTTTCCCATGGCAAAAAGCCTCGATCACTTCCAGCATAATACTGTAGTTTTCTTCCTGGAAAAGCTTTGCCTTTTGTATCTATTTGGTCATGACCTGGGTTTATTTCCATTCCATCAGGCTTTTCAGCAGCCTCCACATTCCCAGTATCTTTTGACTTATAAGTTTCCTTTAGTATGAGTGCATTCAGTATTTTTTCTCGAGATCCAGGTTTATTTCCCACATTTTGGGTTAAAGGCATTGAGTCAAGCTTTGTTTTAGAAATGGATTTTAACTGAAACTGACCATTTATGTTCAGTGGCACAAAAGTACTCTTTGTAGGCATCAATTCTGAAGGAACTACATCATGCATTTTAATTGTAACTTCTTTTTTGCCTCCATTTAAATCGTTACCAGGTTTTTGCTGATTAGTAAGGTTTTTTTGGTCTTTTAAACCAGCACCATTGTCCTTTATTTCCAGCTTTTGAATTTCTGTTATTACATCTTTTTTAACAGTAGGTAACATTTGAAAAGATCTCAAAAGGGCAGCCTTTGACAGATTGTATCCTTTCTGAGTGAGGTCACCATTTTCTAGCTTTAAATCCAGGTCTTGCAAAGCCAGCTGAATATCTTCAGGGAGGAAAGACACATTTACTAGAGGTATTACCATGTTTTGATGAAAACCCTCTGATGTGCCATTTGGATGTTTCTTGATTCTTGGAAAGCGTTTTTCTTCAGGAATATCCTCAAAAATCATTTCAGCTTCAGGTATTGAAGTTGTAGTTTTCAGGTAAGTGTCAGATTTCTGTGAGGTAGTTGTGTTTAATTTTGGTTCCTCTCTAGTATCAACCTCAACAGCTATCTGCATTTTAAACTCTTCATCATTTTTATTTAGAAATGTAAGATTAAAATAGATCACAGTTGCATTCATTCCACTATGCATTATCAGGTGGATAGTTTTCCATTTGTTGGCAACAGAAGCATGACGTATAACTGGATTATCACTATATGCACCCTCAATTCCTTTCTTGGCTATTTCAACAAAGCTGAAATAGGGCAGGTATTCACCTTTCGGAATAACATAAGTAGTCTGATTAAGTTGGAGAGTCACCTTGTACAACTCATCAAAGTGATCTGGAAAAATAAAATGAAGAGTTCCCATTAGCTCACATTCTGCCACTTTTTTTGTAATGACTTGTCCAGCAGTAGAGAGACTATCAGTAATGAGCAAGCTCCAAAACTATACTTACAATTACTACCAATTATTCTAATTCATGTACTCTGAATAACATATCACCATGTTGGATATACTGAGACTTATCAACTTATTCATTCCAGTGATGTTTATAAAGCTACTGCATTAATTATTTATTTTGGTGTTTTTGTAGTCCATTAATAGTCCCTCTATTTTAGTTGTAGTTCAACACAGATATCTACAAAACCATGCTTTGGCCACATTTAAAAATAGCTCCATGATTGTTTAGAGCAGGGGTGGGAAAAATGTGGCCCGCAGGCCAGATGTGGCCCACCAGCCCATTCTATCTGGCCCACAGGGGCCCCTAAAAAATTTAGAAAAGTAATAATTACCTGCCCCAGGCTGCTTGTCGTGCAGCCCTCAATGGCTTGCCAAAATTCAGTAAGCAGCCCTCCGCCCGAAATAATTGCCTGCCCCTGGTTTAGCAGGACCTATAGTACTTTACCATATTTTGGTTGCAAACTTAAAAAAACAAAATAGTCAAAATACCGTCATTATAGATAACTTCACTGCCCTCATAATGTACAGTACCTGACTGTCTTACTCTACTTGTCTCACTTTCTTAAAACCCCACTTCCAACCACTGCCTTCTACTTCTGCTTGCTGCTCTCTCCTTACAGCAAAAAACCGCAAACTTTCTAGTGTATCAGTAATCTCTGGTTCCACTACTCCAGTAGGAAACTGGAGACAGGCCTGCTGAAAGTCTCTGGGTCAGGGTCAGAGGGGAGAGCAACAAGGGTGATGTTGTGGTGGGTGACTGTTATAGACCACCAGACTAAGAGGATGAGGTGGATGAGGCTTTCTTTAAACAGCTAGCAGAATTTTCCTGATCACAGATCCTGGTTTTGATGGGGGACTTCAAATCACCCTGACATCTGCTGGGAAGGCAACATAGCAGTGTGCAGGCAGTTTTTGGAGAGTGTTGGGGACAACTTCCTGGTGCAAGTGCTGGAGAAGCCAACTAGGGACTGTGCTCTTCTTGACCAGCTGCTCACACAGGAAAGACTTAGTGGGGAATGCAGAAGTGGATGGCAACTTGGGCAGCAGTGACAAGATGATTGACTGCAGAATTCTGAGAAAAGGAAGGAAAGAGAGCAACAGAGTAAGGACTGCGGACTTCATAAAAGAAGACTTCGATTTGCTCAGGGAACCTCCCCTCAGAGGACAGTTTGAGAGAGACAGAGGAGTCTAGGAGAGTTGGGTGTATTTTAAAGAAACCTTACTGAGTGCGGAGAAACAAACCAACCCAATGCTCAGGAAAACTATCAAGTATGGCAGAAGACCAGCTTGTCTTAGGGAAATCTTCAGTAAGATAAAGAACAAAAAGGAATCTGACAAGAAATGAAAACTTGGACAAATGACTAGGAAGGAGTATAAAAGTATTGCTCAGGCATGCAGGTATGAAATCAGGAAGGCCAAAGTGCAACTGGAGTTGCAGCTAGCAAGGGATGTGAAGAGTAATAAGAAGGGTTTCTGCAAGTATGTTAGCAACAAAAGGAAGATCAGGGAAAGCGTGGATCCCTTACTGAATGGCAGAGGCAACCTAGTAACAGACGATGCAGAAAAGGTTAAAGTATTCAAAGTCTCTTTATCCTCAGTCTTCAAGGCAAGGTCAGCCACCAGACTACTATATCTGGCAGCACAGTTTGGGGAGGAGGTGAGAAGCCAGTGGCGAAAGAACAGATTAGGGACTAGTTAGAAAAGTTGGACGTGTACAAGTCCACGGGGCCAGATGCAATGCAGCCAAAGGTTCTGCTAAGGTTGTTGGCTGATACGATTGCAGAGATGCTGGCCATTATCTTTGAAAACTTGTGGCAATTGGGAAAGTGCCCAGATGACTGGAGAAGGGCAAATATACTGCTCATCATTAAGAAAGGGAAGAAGGAGGATCTGGGAAACTACAGACTGGTCAGTCTCACCTCAGTCCCTGGAAAAATCATGGTGCAGTTCTTCAAGGAATCCACTTCTAAGCATGTGGAGGAGAAGAAGGTGGTCAGGAACAATCAGCATGGATTCACCAAGGCCAAGTCATGCCTGACCAACCAGATTGCCTTCTATGAAGAAATGACTGTTTCTCTGGATGCGATATACCTTGACTTTAGCAAGGCTTTTGATATGGTCTCCCACAACATTCTTGCAAGCAAGTTAAGGAAGTATGGATTGGATGGATGGAAAACTGGCTGGATCATCAGGCTTAAGGGGTAGTAAATCAATGGCTTGATGTGTACCTGGCACTCCATGAATTTCTTCTGTTTTTTCATAGCAAATTTTAAATTCTTACATTCACATTTATGGACTTCCATTGCTCCATTCCACCAGCACCTGTGTGTGTTCATTCCTGGGTACCTCCTTGAACTGCTGTGCTCCTTCCACACTGTCTTCTGTAGCTTGCTCCTGTTTTTGTCTTCACATGTTTTTCCTCCCTCTCCTTGTATTTGACATCCTCACCTTTTAAACCTACAAATCTTCAAATACACTACTTGGAGGACTAGGAAGAATGGGTCTGTGAAGCACCATATGGGTATCAATCAGATAAAAAGGCTGTAATCAAATGCCTGAGCTATCTGATCAAATTCATACCCACAGTGAAGATGTGTGTATGGACAACCACTAGAAGCAGAAATATCTGTTAATAACTGGGTAAGCTGTAGACAGACTTAAGCATTAGCTCAGAGCAAGTTGAAATTCATGCCTCTGCAGCTGTACCAAGATGTCTTAGCTGCTCTGGTACCTCATTTTCACTGCTAACTTTAGTTTTCACATACCATTTAAGTGTATTTTCTCCTGTAACATGCAAGCTTCTTGAAACAAAGACTTAAATATTCTGGGTTCTGTACAGAACCAAGTACCTTATCTAAGCACAGAGATGTGAAGGCCCGGAAAAAAACCAGAAACATTTGGAAAAAAACCCGTTTTCCCCCCCATCTTTTTCTGAGGACGTTTTTTGTTTTTTTCTGAAAAAATGGAAAAATTGAACATTTGGAAGAAAATTTAAAAAACCCTCTTATGAAATATTTTCTTTTAGAATGATGAATAAAATGTTTAAGACAAAGTTTTCCTATATTGCTACCCTTTACTCCCCCAAAACATTTTCTAATAACTATGTAATAGGAAGACTTTTTAAAGACTATCTGCAGTACCAGAGCACTACAATTCCTGTACACCGAGGAGAAACAGTACAGTACAACTCTCAAATGGAAGAGCAAGGTGCATTTCTGTCCCCACGGGGCACTGCCATTTTCACAAGAGACGGAAGGATTCAGTGCTTTCTTTGATTGTGCACTTCCTCTACTGTTGACTTCTGATCTAGAGGTTGGTGGATCTGCTCCTGTCCTCCTGACTAGGCCTCAAAGGACTGGAAGTGGACACTGGCAGCAGCGTCCATTCATTTCCATAGAGATCAGAAACAAGGAGCTTAATGCCCTGCTTGCTCAAAGGCCTCAGGAGAGGAGACAGAGCAAATCTAAAGGTTTTGGAGTTGGAAGGAACCTGCCTCCTCCTCGCCTTGTGACCTTCAGATCTGCAGAAGTACAGAAGCAGTACAAAGGAGTTGAAAGAAAGTATACTTCTTTACTGAAAGGTAAGAGTTTAAATTTCTCTGAATTCAGCTATATTTTAGCTGCATTAGTATATTTTCATAACCTATGTAATTCAGAATTGAATTCCTACTAATCTGATGTTTTGTGACAAATCACCCAAACTTAGCGGTGAGGTGAGGCAGGGAAGTTGTTCACAGATAACTCTGAGGAGGCCTTTCCTCCATCCATTACTAAATTTGTACATGCTGTAGTTTAGTGTTTATATACATAAGCCAGCCACTAAATTACATTTTTCTTTTTTCTCCCTCAGCAAAATGGTGTGACCAACTTCTAGCATATGAAAGCATTTCCATACTGCAAGTTATACTGAGGAAAAAAAAGTCTAATGAAATATGGATTTCCAAATGTTACTAAACATGACCAAACACATCCTTATATGTAAGAAGTGTCCTCATTAAAAAAATCAGTCATGGGTGTAAGTGAGGAGGAGGTAGATCATGATGATGAAAGTGAAAGTAGCTCTTTCTGACATTCTTCTGAGACGCCATTGTCAATAACTGAAAATGCATACTGGCAGGAAGCTTTTAAATTACTAAGACCATAATACCATTTGCCCAGCAGACATCCTTTGAGCAAGCCTCTTTTAGAGTTAGAGTATGAACATGTAATGCAATCTGTGCAAGGAAAAAATCAATGAAGCAGTGTCTTGCAGTACTTACAGATGGATGGACAAATGTGCGGGTAGAAGGAATCATAAAATTTGTGATAACACCCCAACCAGTTTTTAACAACACCTCAACCAGTTTTTTTACAGAAGCATTGAAACAGGAAAGAAACAGGCATACTGCAGAATATATCAGTAGTAAAATATGTGAAGTCTTATAGAAGATTGGGAGTGGTAAAGTATTTGCTTTGCTGACTGACAATGCAAGTAACATGAAAGCAGCATGGGAGATCATAATGGATAAATATCCACTTATTACTGCAATAGGATGTGCATCCCATGGGCTAAACTTGCTTCCTAATAACATTGTGAAGTTGGACACTCTGCAAAAGATCTATAGAAGAGCAAAAGAAGATATAAAACATGTAAAAGTTACTCATACTGTAGCTGCAGTCTTTAAGAATCAGGAAGAAAAGAATGCAAAGAATAAAATAGTGACACTCAAACTCTGTAGTAAAACTAGATGGGGTGGAGTGGTGATCTCATTTGAAAGCTTACTGAAAAACAAAGCCACTCTTCAAGAAATAGTAATAACTGAGGATCTTAAAGTACCCAGAAGCGTAAGGAACGCTGTACTTGATGAGGATGTCTTCTGGGTTCAGCTGCAGAACTCCCTGAAGATGCTAAAGCCAATTTCTTCAGCAATCACTGCCTCTGAATCAGAGTGCACTTTTGTCAGATGTTCCTTACCAAATGGCCCAGGTAAAATCAACTGTTTTTGAGAATCTAAGTGCATCTCCGCTTACAAGTACAGAAGAAAGAAAACTGAAAGACTTTATTAACAGACGGGAAGAATTTTGTTGCCAATCAATTCATGCCACTGCAAATCTCTTGGATCCAAGATTCAAAAGTGGAAATGTCAGTGATGATAGCACTGCTACTGCATTTGACTAGATTACAAAATAAGTAACAGACTTAGGACTTGATGTTGGAAAGGTATTTTCAAATGTTACAGAATACAAAACCTTCAGGTATTTGGTCCAGGAATGCAATCTGGGACTCTGCCAAGCATATCCCTCCTGCAACATGGTGGCAAGGCCTTTGCACGACACAGCCTCTGACTCCTCTTGCTTCTCGCCTGCTTCAGATTCCTCCATCTTCTGCAGCATATGAAGGAAACTGGTCTATGTTTAGAAATACTCAAACCAACTCAAGAAATAAACTAAGATGTGAAAGAGTAGAGAAGCTTGTCTCACTCAGGGCAAACCTTCAGTTTTCAGAAGTCCATGAAGATGATAAAAATGAAGGATCAGAAGAAGCAGAAACTGCTGATAGTGGACAGCTCAGAAAATGAGACTAATTAGACAAAGTTTCATGTAGCAAAACTCGTATTCAATGAGTCGGGGAGGGGGGGTCCTTTTTTTCTCAGCTCTTTTTTTAAAATGACTGTTTTCTGTAACTGCTTGACACTGTGGAGGAGACTAAGTCCAGAATACATAACAACTGCCTTTGTTTTACTACAATGTTGATGGTTTCTTCTTTTTTCAACTTTAATTTTTGCCTGCTTCTCATAAACTGGCAAAAACTAAGAGATGCTAGGTTCCTTAGAGTTCAGCAGCTTGTAGCTGTCCATTTGTAACAAAAATTAAAAACATTTTAAAGTAAATTAGTAAATGTGTAATTACTGTCTGAATAAACTGTTTTTAAATGTAATAAATATACCAAACATGATAATTTTATGAGCAAATCAAATTATACATAATACATTTTACGTTCTTAAAGGAGTAAAGTGAATTTCAATCTGTAAAGGGTGCTAAGAAAATAAATAATGTGTATATTTCGATTTTTCCCAAAAATTGCCATTTTTTCCCATGGCTTCAAAATTGTACATTTCTCGCCAAGCACAATAAATAACTACCTGAAAAAAAATAAAATCAACCAAAAACATATTTTAACGTTTGGATTGGTCTAAATAAGAATCGCCCTCTGACATTTTCCTAAACTGGTAACATAGTCACAGCTCCTTTCCCACAATTCTACAAAGGGTTGCAGAATGGAACTCCACAGAGAATAGCCACAAAGTAAAAAAGGATAATTTGTTATAAATACTTACAGAAAGATTATCAATGATGTGCTTAACATACCTTGCCCGCAGTCACCAGCATCAAATCCACAAAAAAGAACATTGCATGCCTGGTCACAAAATTTATCAGCTAGCCAGGAATTAGCACAGCCTTGATTGCAGTATGAAACTCCACTTATTCCTGCGCCAAATTGCCAGGGTGGACCATTCCCTGCTCCTCCAACTCCACCACCGCCAGCAACATAACGGCTACTTCCACTGTTACCTAAAGAAAAGAGAAAGCAGAGTCCACTGAGACTTTCCTTCAGGGATAGGTTAAGTTCCACTATCATTTTAAATCTTGTTTTCCAGAGTTAGGCAGAAAAACCATAAGCAGCAATTACTAGAGTTGTGTGCTTCGGTCGCTGATTCCATTTGGTGGAGATTCGGCCCAATTCCATGGCCGAATCTAATCAGGAGACCTTTTAATCTCTTCAAATCGAATCGGAACCCTCTGAATTGATTTGGAGAGATTCAATGATTTGGACATAGACACAGCTTTAAATGTTTTTCTACATACCTCAAGGTACCAGGTGGCTTGTCAGCACTGAGATGCTGTGGTGGATGGAGCATCCCATGGGAGCGCGGGGGGTGGGTTCCCCAGTGCACTCAGCGGCAGACCTGGAAGCAGACCAGAAGCACTTCCACATCCATGGTGAAGCGTACGGGGGACTGCCCCCCCCCCAAGCCTCCCAGCTCGTTAACTGGTGCCTCCTGGATCTGTGGGGGCACCCGGGGTTCCCCCACGGCCAATCACTGAGCCAGGAGGGGTAGGGATGGTCCACCGCTGAGCATGTGGGGGGGAAGCTCATGCTCCTGTGGGTTGCTCCATCCACCCCAGCATCTCAGCGTTCACGAGTCACGTCTGGTACCTTGAGGTATGTAGAAAAAAATATTTAAAGCCATGTCTATGGCCAAATCATCGAATCTTCATATTCGGATTCGGCTGAATCAAATCGGGACAGTAATCTGAATCAATGAATCGAATCTCTGTCCCTGATTTAGGCTGCATCCAAATCAAATATGGCTTGTTTCGCACACCCCTAGTAATTACCTTACATTAAGATATGCTGGCTTGCCTCCTGTAAACCAGTGGGAAATCTAAGCAGACTTTCTGGGCCAGCAAAAACACCTAAATTATTTTAAAACAGAGAGGAAAAGGTTCACCTACTTTGTAAATCTGTATGGACCTTTATGGGCCAAAGTCTAACAACAAGTCCATCTGTTTAAGAAAATGCACCAACATACAGGTTCGCCCCCACCCCCAAATACAGGCCGTTTATTTAACTCCATACTTTCATTTAAATAACTAGTTGCTACTTTTGAGCTCCTCAGGCACTAAAGACCACAAACATTGAACTGGAAAGATCTTAATATAAAATGTGAACATCTGATTATAACGGTCTTGGGCAAGACTTTGGGGGGGGGGGGGGTTTGCAGAAGACAAAAAAAATCCAAAGTTACAGCTCTTCTCATTCCTTTCTCTAATTTGAAATCTATTTTAAAGCAACTCCATATGCCTTTGTTTTATGTCTCCCTGCTGAAAGCCCCTTATATCCATTTTTAAGATCAGTTCTAAATATCAGAGATTGGCAATTAGAAATCTATCCACACTTTTTAGGAAGAATATCTTTGTACTGCATTCCAACTTATTTTCAAAACCCTCTAAGTAGTGCTCATGCAACTGTTCCTAAATATTCTCTAACTCCTGTTGCCAAAAAATCCCGTAAGAAGACTGAAGAATTATGACAAAGAAAAACAAAGAAAAGAATAGCTATTTCTCAATTCTCAGATGCTATAGGGATTTAGGATAGCCACCTGCAAGTGCTTTAAGGATGTGTATCATAAAGTAGGAAACAGATAGTGTGGTGTATATGAGAAGTTCTGGTAATAAATAGATGAATCTTGTTAAACCTGATTTTAGTAATGGCAATTATGTTGATACCCCTCATCAAAGCATTTGGTAAATCTAAATAGCCATAAAAAACAATAATAAAAGTATTTAACATTAAAGCATTTGTTAGTTTTTCAGACAAAAGTGTGACAGGATCCAATGGTTGAGAGCAAAAGTTAGAAAAAAATCAAATTGAAAGTGAGCTGCAACATTTTATAGAAATGGTAATTAGCCATTTTCCAAATGGTTATTTCTAATACCCAACCTAAATTTTCCTTGCTGCAACTTGAGACCATTGCTCCTTGTTCTGTCATCTGCCACCACTGAGAACAGTCTAGCTCCATCCTCTTAGGAACCAAACACTTTTCAGGTAACTGAAGGCTGCTATTAAATCCCCCTTTAGTTTTCTCTTGTGCAGACTAAATAAGCCCAGTTCTCTCAGTCTCTCCTCATAAGTCATGGGCCCCAGTCCCCTAAAGATTTTTGAACAACTTTTATGTAATAAAGTCATCTGTATTTAGAGTGTTAAAATACAGATAACATCTTCTAAAAATAGTGTTGTAATTCAATATACTAACACTTTACTAAGTATGCTTTGTATTACTACTCTGATATTACCAAAATCAGATTTTAATTTAATACTTACACATATAACACTGAGTCTGTGATATCAGAGATAAGCCATAGTTTTAAACATATGCAAAATGCCATTATTAATCCTTATAATCTTACCTTAACTTGTAATTGGGGTCTGAAAGTGATTCTAGTACTTATTTATTTCTCTCCCCCCCCTTTGTGCCTCCTGACAACAAAACATTTATTCATTGGTAAAACTAATATTTTACTACTATCAGGCCTGCTGTGCAAAGACAGGCAATAAGATCCAAAAATCTATTCTCATCTAGTTAAATATGGTACATGAAGCATGATTTCCTTATTATCTTATATATTAGTTTGCAATATTATTTCCCTCAAGCAACTAACTATATATCTATAAGCCAGACCAGTTTTTTTTGTATTTTTCTAAGAAACACTTTTCTTAGTTATAGGATAATCCTTTTAATTTTAAATGATAAAAGTAAATTTAACTTGTTTGTAAATCTAAATTTGCCCTCTTACCAATGCAATCGCCTCCATCCCAATCACAAGCTGAATTATTACAGGCTTTATCACAGTAACCATCTTTAATCCATGAGCCAGGACATCCCTCAGCACAGTTTGGAACAGGCCAAGTCAAGTAAACCTAGAATAGTATTACATGATCAGGTTTTTTGTCAAAATTAGCAGTCATATAAAAGTAAATTTAGTTTGCCTCACAATATATACTGAATTAGTCAACACTTACCTGTGCATAGTGCTTTAGAAATACTAATCATCCTCAGCACCCAGAAGTGAAAGTATTATTCCCTTTCAGCGGGAAAAATTAAGGCTCACATGAAAAGACTGTCAAGCAACTTCCTGATTCCCTACCATTCTTTTCATTTCCATAGATTGTATTCAAATGACTGTTAGACACTTGATCTTTTAGAAGATAAAACGAGGGAAGTCTAAAATAATACACTTGGTGTTTCCTGGTGCTGTCAACTAGCCATAGGTGTAACAAGCACAAGTGCAACTAGCGTACTTATCACTAAGAACCTTACCATCTAGGAGTTTAATGTTTCCAAGAATTTCTAGGATAAAATAATGTAGGAAAAGTATTTTGTTTAAAAATCATAAAAAACTAAGCACTTTTATTCTCAGATCCCTCTCCCAAGAATTTTACAATGTGGTCCCAGCTGTGAAAGCTACAGAGCAAGTAGGTATCATAAAACAAAATTTCAGCTAAAGTCACATCAGCATCATGGTCAACTGACGGAACAGTAATACTAGATTGGGAGACAGAAACCTCATATTTGCTACCAGACTGCTGTGTGACCAAGGGCAAGTCACTTTACCCTCTGAGCCTCTTCTCCTGCCATCCTCTTTCTTTAGACCACAGGCAGAACTGTCTCATTTTGTTATGTAATAGGATCACAAACAAATACAAATAATAATAAAGTTTTCTCCCACCAAAAGGTTAGCGCACACCTAACCTATAGATGAAATGATACTAGTTTGCCTCCGAGAATGTTGCAGGAGACTGCAACATTCTCGCAGGCAAACTAGGGAAGTACGGGCTGGATGAATGGACTGTAAGGTTGAAAGAAAACTGGCTCAGACATTGAGCTCAGAGGGTACTAACCAAAGGCTCAATGTCTATTTGGCAGCCGGTATCAAGTGGAGTGCCCTAGTGGTTGGTTCTGAGGCTAAGTTTGTTTTTGGACTTCTGTATCTTCATCAATGACCTGGAAGATGGCATAGTGTACAGCCTCAGAAAGTCTGCAGATGACACCAAGCTGGGGGAGTAGTGAGGGTAGGGCTAAAATTCAGAGTGACCTAGACAAATTAGAGGATTGGGCCAACAGAAATCTCATGAGGTTCAACAAGGACAAGTGCAAAGTTCTGCACTTAGGACGGAACAATTCAATGCACCGGCACAGGCTGGGGGCTGACTGACTGCACAGCACCTCTGCAGAAAAGGACCTGGGGGTTACAGTGGACAATTAGCTGAATATGAGCCAGCAGTGTGCCCTTGTTGCCAAGAAAGCTAATGGCATACTGCACTGCATTGGTAGGTGTACTGCCAGCAGGTCAAGGGAAGTGATTATTCTCCTCTATTCAGTGCTGGTGAGGCCACATCTGGAGTGCTGTGTTCAGTTTTGGGCCCCCCACTACAGAAAGGATGGGGACAAACTGGAGAGTCCATTGGAGGGCAATGAAAATGGTGAGGGTGCTGGGGGCAGGGCTGTCCCAGGGGGTGGGTGGTAGAATCACGGCAACCGCCCCAGGCCCTGAGCTTTGGGGGGCATCGTTGAGCCAGGCAGAGCGGCCGCGGCCCCTCCTGCAGGGCCCGCCTAGTGCTTGTGACTCAGTCAGCTTTGCATCCGGCCACTTGCCCCTCCCCCGCCCCCTGCCAGCTTCTTTGCGTTCAGGCCCCACACAGGCTGAGTTGCCCCAGCCCTCGCACCCTGCTAGGATCGTCTCTGGCTGCGGGGCATGACTTCTGAAGAAAGACTGAGGGAACTGGTCTTATTTAGTCTAGAGAAGAGAAGACTGAGGGGAATTGAATAGCAGCCTTCAACCACCTGAAGGATGGAGCTAGACTGTTTTCAGTGGTGGTAGATGACAGAACAAGGGGCAATGGCCTCAAGTTGCAGCAAGGGAAGTTTAGGTTAGATATTAGGAAGAACTTTCTCCCCAGCAGGGTAGTAAAGCGGTGGAACAGGTTACCCAGAGAGGTGGTGGAAGCTCCATCCTTGGAGGTTTTCAAGACCCACCTAGACAAAGCTTTGGCTGGGATGATCTAGTTGGGGATGGTCCTGCTTTGAGCAGAGGGCTGGACTAGATGACCTCCTCTGAGGTTCCTTCCAAGCCTAGGATTGTATACTAGTTGCTAATACAACTGCATTTAAACATGGCTGTTCCATGGTCCTAGCATGGTTGTCTAGCCTAAATATAACTGTTGCTAAAGTGCTGATAGGCTATAAATTGCTACAGGTTTAGGAAAGGTGGTATACCTCAGTGATAGGCCCTGACAGTGTTTTCGGTACTTGGAGAAGTGATGAATAAGAAATGTAAAATGCAGACTGATTCAGCAATTATCTAATCTCAGTGCTATCAAGAACTACTAAGTCTACCGTCTCAAACAAGTTTCCCATACAAAAGGAATTCACAAGCAAAATAAAACTGCATTCCCCTTCATTTTTTAATCTCTGTGAAACAGAAAAGCAACATGCAGCAAAGGGGTGACAGCAACAGAAAATAAACTAACACTTAAATACCATGTGTGGGACCGAATGGGTACTGCAAAAGAATCTTCCCAGTGTTTTAAACTTTTATAACTTATTTAGAGTTAGTTTTGTTACATGTTTTTCCTATTTCTGATCCTTTTTTTTAACAAGTTCCTGGGCAGCTGTACAATTTTACAAAGATTCACTTAGAAGAGTTTTTCAAGAGAAGAGGGGGAGCTACTGGATGGAAGTGCGCAGCAGCTGTCACTGTAGGGATACATGCAAGAAACTGCTGGATGAAGCAGGGTTAAATGTAGACCCATTTAGCCCATTTGTATTGCTACAGACTACTGTGCACATGTAGCAGTTAGATTGCAACAGCGGCTGCATGCTCCCTTTTGAAACAGCTCCAAGTGAACATCTGTCCATGATGTGTATTCCTAAAGAAATAAAATAGGCTGCAATTTTTTGGATTGGTCAGACTAATGACATCAATCAAGATACTTTCTGCCAATTCATGCAGAAAGTACTTGCAGTATCAGAACTGGAAATGCTTATGCATATGGTATGCTGACCTAGAAACTACTTACTCTCTGAATAAACTGGGTTATTTTAATAGAGGGCGGAAAGGAAAAGCAAGCAGGAAGGAAAAAAATAGCTTGAGATAAACAATCCCTCAGCAAACACTGATGACTTATAAGGGCAATACTGGGACTATTAGTTTTGACAATGGATTGCAAGTGTAATGTTGTTATGCTTTTAAACCTTGATGGGGCTGAAAAGGACTCTCAAGACTGGGAAAGCTGCTTTGGGGGCCTGGGCCACCCAACTGGGACCAGATAACTTTCTGGATATGTCTGAAGATTTTAGGCCTGCTCATATTGTCATCAGGGAAAGATAAGATTTTACATGAGACAGACACACATGTAGACTATTTTAAAATACTTTTACTTTAAATGTTTGAGGGAAGGGAAGGAATCAACCAGAGCTACACAGACTCATCAAACCTGCTGGGCAAGCAGAATTGATAAACAAGTTATTCTACAGTTCAGGGCAAGGTTTAAGCGTGAGAAAAGTGTGGAACTCAAAGACATAGGGCCCAACAAATTAGAGGCTGAATCCAAAGAAACTAAAATTGGTTCAGCTAATCTCCAGCAAGACATTTAACATTAGAGCCTTGCAAAATATGGAAAATGTGGGGTTTAGTCCCCATGACCCAGTTACCAATTCCGTACGTTTTAAAAATAGATATTCCTTCAAAAAATTATTTATATTCTATCTTCCTTTCATATCATTTCTTGAACTTACATCATCATGTTAGATTAGAAACTGTTTCTGAACGGTTTCTGATCAAGCATAAGGACTTACCTTTTGACCCTTGGAGTGACTGTAAAAATCATCAGGCCATACATCTTTCCCAAACATAACATCATCATTTAGATAAATGAACTTCTGGGACAGGCTAGCAATGTGATGAATGTGACTTTCGATAGCTGGGGAGCTAAAGGTAGGCAGGTGACTCAAATTTTGAAATATTTCCTGACAGAAAAGAAAAGAAGAAAAGAAAAGAAAAAAATATGCATCTTTAGAACTTTTTAACATAGATTTAAACTGCCAGGTACAGCAGAGAAACTTTATTCAATATGAAAATTATTTTGGCTGAGAAAGGGAGAAAATAAATAAAGGAAGGAATAAAGGGCCAGGAAAATAAATAAGGAATAAGTACAGTTTTACCATCTTCTCTTTGTAGCTCTAAAAACATTTCAAATTGCATGCTTACACTGGTCTTCTTCTTACACTAACGTAAGTGGCAGACTATGACTGTTATTTGATCTAAAGTTAACTGAAGACAACAGAAAGGCTCCCATTCACTTTGGGTGCAGACAAGAGTGACAATTTTTGCCTGATCTGACCACAAAAAGCAGTTTATAGCTATGATCAAACAAAAGTGCATGGCTGCAAACAGCTTTAAAAATGGCCAACCGGGTGAAAATTTGACCCTTCATTGCATGAGGTATCAAATAAAGACGTTACAAAATATAGCATCTTTTGTAACTTGTGTCTGTGGAGCTCCCAGCCTGTCCCTATTTTCAGAATGGAAGGGGGAAAGGGAGCAGAGGGAGTTCAGTCTGGGGAATTTCAGGATCCCCTGGAAGGTGGAGCAGGACTACTGCAGTCCCCTCCAAGTTGGGAGGGCTCCAATTCACCTACCCCACCCTTCAGCACCAGGCGGGGAGCCCAAGAACAAGCTCCCTCTGCTCCCTTTCCTCCCTCCCATTCTGAAAACAGTGAGCACTGGCAGAGAGCCCTGTCCATTGCTATGGGAACCTGGCCCTGCAGCTAGATTTCCCTCTCCCCTGGAACCAACAGTCAACTTCTGTCTGGTCTGGGGTACCACTGTAACTCAGAACGGCTTGCAAAAATCATTCTGAGTTACAGCTGGGAGCTGCACTTCTGTCTGCATTCCTCAAGAACTGTCAAACAGGTCATATGTGCATATATTTATATGCCTTCTGCATTACAGGCTACACAAATCTGTATAGGGTTCGAAGCCAGCTGAAGCCACTACAACATGGAGGGAATCATGGATCTCCATTTCTTACAGGTAATTTAGTGAGCATGTAGTGTTGCTATAGCCAAGATGGGCCAAAGAACATGCAAGAAGCAGGATTTGCTTGATAAGATCTCATTTGGACGAGCTATAGAGTTCGGAGATATGTCAGAGGCAGACAAGGTTCCTTGGGTGAATTTGATATTTTTTATTAGACCAACCCAAATAGTTGGAGAATAGTTATTAAGCAAGCTTTCAGGTTCAAAAACCCTTCGTCAGGCTAAGGAAGTTTCAGCAGTTGGTGTGTGCTCTTCCTGGATGGAATGAAAAGTGAAGAAGAGATATGTCAGAGAAGCTTTCAGGAAGCATAAAACTTCCCAGACTGAAGGAAGGGCATTTTGTGCCTGAAAGCTTGTCTAACACCTCTCCCAATGATGCAGGCAGTTTCTAAACAAATCCTGCTTCTGAAGGGACTAATTCAGCTTCTCCTGATGTATCCCATTGGTAAGGACCTACTGAAATCACCATTTCACAGATTTAGTGGAAAATGTGAAATCCAGCATTGCCTGGAAAAGTGGGCAATATCCACAAAATCCGTGGAAAAATAAGAAAAGAAAACATACTGAAAATAAAATACTGACTCCTCAGAGAGAGCCAATGGTCCTCATGGTGCTGTGGCTCAGCCATGCAGCTTGTCAGGGGGAGGGGAGGGCTGCTGGCACATAAGGAGCCCAGGTGGCTGCTGCTCCCACAATTTCTGCTGATTGGCTGAGAGGGCTGCCTGTTGTGTAGCCCCACCCCTCTCCACCAATCAATGGTCGCTGGCCATGAAATTGGCCAGTCACCTCCTCAGGTTCAGCCGCCTCCTACCCAATTCAGCAGACTCCTACCCAATGCCTCTTAACACTTCTCAGAGTTCAAACATGCCAAAAACCCAAATACTTCACAATTTGTAATAACCACCATATTTTGGTGCTTTATTCATTTAGTAAATTTAGAGATTTATTTTAAAGTAAGCTTTTTTAAAACAACACAATAGCTTTCCAGTGACCCACTTCTTTCCAGTAATTATATTCCAGCCTGTCTTAAAATTTAAATATACTAGCCTTTCAGTGACTTTGACAAATTGTTTATGGTGTAAACTTCAAATACCATTTACTTCCCCTCAATCTAAATAAAAACAGATTCTATAAGGAACTGATAGACAGATATCCAAATAATTTAAAACCTGTAGATATTTAGAAACAAGTTCTCAGTAAAGGTTTGATATAGTTTTATCTTCCTTGCAAGGTGACAAACTGAAAAACAAAGGAAACCCTACAGTTTAGTAAAACAAGAAAAAAGAAATAAGGTAGTTGCTTCTACCTTTGCAATAATACACAAGCTTTACTAAAAGTGCAGCTCTCAAACCACTGCAGCCTCTCTTGAGGGATTTTTACCTGATGTGTTACTATAGTTATACGAGGGTTATCCAGGTTAAGCCAGGATGGAATCTGTCCATTAGTGACAATGAAAATATGTCGAACCCACGGGGCATGCCTCTCTATTGATCGTAAAGAATATCTCAGCTCTTCATTATCTTCAAAACGGCTAGCTGAAATGTCTTCATCCTGTTTAGACTATGGATAAAATAAAAGATACATTTATATTTTAATGGCTTAAACACATGCTTAACTGAACCCTGTAAATAGGTCTCACTGAAATGCTTTGGACAACTTACAGTAAGTTTTGGAATGTGGGTGCATCAATTTTTGCAGGACTGCGACCTTAACTAAAAGCAAGTACACTGGAAAAAAATAAAACTGTTCCTTATAAATGGTCTGATTTTGTAAAAAAAATCTGTAATAATAATAATAGGCTTTTTGTTATTTCTTTTATGCAGGCAGGTAAGAGCTAGAAGGAAGCACTGGGGACCCCTGCCAAGGAGCAGGCAGGCTCCACAGAAGGGAAAAAAGAAAAAGAAAAAGGGGGGGAAAAAAAGGCAGTGAGGGGCTCAATCTCCCCTGCCCCCCACCAGCCTGCCCACCTCTCATGCAGCTGGGGGGTGAGATGCCAGCAGCCCCTGAGCTGTGGAGAGCCCCAGTGCTTTCCTCTGCGGCAGCAGCACCCCCCAGGACCACCCAGGCAGGGTGCTAGCGGGTGGGTGCTGCCCAGGGGGGCGCCATCACTGAAGAAAGAAGCACCAGGATCCTCTGCAGTCAGGGGCTGCGCGACTCACCGGCAGCTCATTCCCCAGCTGCGGGAGACACAGGCAGGCTCCAGGAAGAAAAAAAAAAAAAAAAAAATCTAAAAAACAAAGAACAAGGCCCCTTGCCGCTTTTTTTTTTTCTTTTCTCCTCGGCAGAGGCTGCCCACACGACCTGTTGTCAGATCATGCAGCCCCCGAGCTGCCGGGGAACCCAGTGCTTTCCTCTGCAGCAGTGGTGCCCCCCAGGGCTGCCTGGGTGGGGTGATAGCTGCGCAGGTGCAGCCCCAGCTTGCAGGCAGCACCTGCATGATCCAATGGTACATGGGGTGCTTGGAAGCCCCATGTGTGTTCAGGGAAGCTCAGGCGTGGCAGTCTTCCAGCACCCTGTACACCATCCCCACCACCTTCCCGCTGCCTGGGACCAGGCTGGCTGCCCCAGGAAGGCAACAGGAAGGCAACTGGGTATGCTGGCAGCCAGAGAAGGCAGTGGGGATGGTACATGGGGCACTAGAAGCCCGCCAAGCCCAAGGTTCCCTGACCATGCCCAGGCTTCCAGTGCCCCATGCACCGTCCCCACAGCCTTCCCTGGGATAGGGCCCTCGTACACATGAGGAACACTACTGTAATTTGTTACATAGCCAACTCAAATACATGGGATGTGTTTTTAGTTTGCTGTGTAAAAAAGTCATTTAAATTGTAACATGCCGCCGAACGTGTACACTGTTACGCAATTAAATTGTTAAAAAAGGCAATTAACCCACTAAAAGGGGCAATTTCATCATGTGTACAACGGCTATCTTATTGTAAGACTATAAACAAGTCACAAGCTCAGACTTTTAACAAACTATGTATTTATATTCTTAAGCCTGTGTTTACACGTGCATAGCTTTATGTAGCCTTTTCAAGGGTGAGAAATTTTGATTCCATAAAAGTATTTAGTCAAAGGATAACTAAAAATCCTGTATTTAAAGAAACACTTTTGCAATAGAAATTTAAATTGCAAATGTTTTGTGAGTTTCAGCTACTATATATTATAGTATGCCCACTGACATGAGCTGTCAATAATGTTGACCACACGATATTATCAGCCTGTCCATGACTGTAATAGGAGCCGACTGATGCTTACAATGATCTTGTTCTTCTACCTTCAAGAGGTCCCAGAGAGCAACTATCCTCTCTTCCTGGATTATTACTACATTTTTTTCCTGATCTCCTACTCCCTCCTGTGGTAGACAGACCCAAAACTATATTGCTTTTCAACCTTTTTTTCTTTTATTATTAAACCCAGGTCCCACCATGTACAGAACAGGATTCTTATCGGCTCTGCTCTTTTGAAAAGTTGTATTCATAAACGTGATAGCCTAGTAATTTATTTGAACAAAATTTATGCACCATAAAATAAAGTATTATAAAATACAATACTCTGTTCTTGAATTTAAAAAAGTAATGAGCTGTTAATCAAGAACACCAGTAAACAAAAATAGTTCAATGAAAATGAATTCACCATCAACTTTTATGTAAATTCAAATATGCCAGTATTTTCTTAAGATAAACTCGGACAAATTTCTTTTTTACACTCGTTTTGTAGGTCATGAACTACAGTCACTTAATACTGCAACATACTTAATTCCCAGAAAAAAAATATTTTAAAAAGACAGGTATGGTTGCTTTAAGTAAACACCCGTCCACACCTCCTTAAAGGAAAATGTCCGGTTAGATTTCCTTCTTTAACACATCTTTACTTGAACACCTCCTGCTTACCACTTTCACCAGACTCTACCTGCTATAAATAAGACCCTGCAAATTCAACATAAAAGGTAACGTGATATACACTACAGTTTTAACAGTGGCATTGCAGCAGCACAAAACTTTAACTTCCAACTCAGGAACTCCAAATATCCTGTCTACCAGACACCCGAAGTTGATGAAATGTACACCACATTCTTTTTACGTGAGGAAGTGTGAAAGCCAAGTTCAGGGTTTTGCATTATAATGACAGAAGTTCTTTAAAGTAAAACCTGACAGGTGACAATCTTGCTTAGATGATTTCATTAATTACAAAAACATAACAAAACTTTTTCAAGCTAATTAGAATGTAGCTCAAAAACAAAACATATGTATCTTTTTTCTATACAATATAATTTGGTCACTCACTACAAGATAAATACAAACCTCAGAGGAAGAAATTTTAAAAGAAAAATCTTAGTTTGAAAATATGGATTCCCCAGTTACGTTTTCTTTCCTTTTGATAAAGACTACCTTGGGCCATATCATTTATCATCAGGAACCTCTTTTCTTTTATTGAAGTCTTCCAGTAAAATACAAAGGCCAAAACTTGCTTTCTTTAAAACTCTTAACAAAGCAGCAATTATTTTTCCCCAGCATTAGCAGTACATTTCCAACTGTAGCAAAAGTATACCAAAGACATCTCTTAAGGAGCAAAACAAAAAAATGTATTTCAGTAAAGATAATTCTGTTTCCAGTATGAGAAATAAAAATGCTTATATGAAAGTCAATAACCAGTTCAGACATAAGCACTTCCTGTCCAAACTACACTGACTAGGTTACAGACAGTTTTATCACCATAGGTAAGAGAAGGGCAAATATTTTAATTAAAAAGTCCTCAAAGAAAACTTGATGGAGCTCTACCCCTTCTTACACTTCTTTCCAAGTTTTAAGCTTTGAGGTCAATTTTATTTAAATGAGAAATTTCAAGTTCCCAACTTAGATTTTCTAGAAGATATTCTCTTTCCTTAACATTACATCTTTAACCTTGTTCCTTGGAAATTGTAACACTGTAGTCTTTACATTCCTTGCTGAAATTTACCAACCTGACTAATGGTGCTTAGATCCCACAGTAAATAAGCAGGATTGAGTGCCAGTTCTTTTCCATCTATAGTCATGTTCTTCTTAGCTTGCTTGCTCAGTTCCTGGAAACCCTTAGGGTTATTCAGTTGCAGGAGGGCTACGCTGGCTTCTGAATAAAGCTGCAACTATATAAGCAGAGAAAAAATCTTTAATATGTGTCAGATATCCACAGAAGAGATCCTTTCTCACTTGCAATTTTTATTGACTTATATTTTTCTCACTATTGTTATTAAAAGGGTCAAATGATGAAAACTGGTAAAAGTTTAGGTACCCTGAAAAAAGCAACCTAATGAAGAAGAAGAACAAAATGGCAAATACAGCTGACATTCAAATACATGGAATGTATCTGGAAGAAAGATAAACACAGTGTTGGAAAACTGAAGTTACTTTTAGAACAATACACAAAAAACCTGTATTATTATGTTGGTATTACTGTTTCCAACCACATTTCTCTTTACTCTGTAATCAATGATCAATGAATGCATTAGCAATACTTCATGAGTACATTAGTAATTTATTCCAGCCCTTCCCTACCTAAAGTATTGAAATCCATAAATTCATGTTTTACTGATCCTTAAATTTAATTTCTGGTTAAAGGACTGCTACCCTATTTTTTAAAGCGACACTTTTCTTGGCATGAAAGGCCACTGATTCAGCTCTGCCTGTTAACAGCATGAGATTTTTCGAATGGTTTAAGGATCAAACTAGGTCCAGAAATTTGAGATACAAAAGGCTCCAGAACTAATCCATGTGGGTCTCTGAGTCCTCAACCACGACTGCCAATCTGCTGCTAAGGTCATTTGTTACTGCGGAACTGTTTGATCTGGTCACTGTTTTTATCTCTTGCCACTAGTTATTTTGGATATCAGATTTCATAATGGACAGGATGAGAAGGGGCTTACTAACTGCTATATCTGACAGCAAATACAGCTTGCAAAAGCACAGGACACTCTACATTTCATTAAAAGTAAAAGGCAACCAAGGGATTTTATTTGTATGTTTTAGTGCAAAAGGATACAAATAAAAAGGGTATAATCATGCTCAAGTTCCCTAGATTAATCTATATTTAAAAGACAGACTGAAATATGACAGTAGCATATATGTCTTTCAGTCAGTGCAATGCAAAAATATTAAGCATTACCTCTAATAAAAAGAGTTCAGGATTACTGCATATATTTCTGGTTGGCAGAGATTTATAAAAGCAATGTAAGACTTTATAGTAATATTGTATCAGGCAACACAACAACTGAAGCATCCTAGATTTTTTTTTTCCATTTATTAACTTTCTAACTCAGGCTAATTTTTATTTTTGATCAAATCTGACCTTTTCTGCCTGTTCTGAGACAACACTTGTCACAGTGTTTAGCACCCCATCCCTTAGCAGTCAAACACAAGCCCAGCTGTCATGCCTGTGACATTTTAAAGCTGTCAATGGTTTGACTCATATGCTATTTGATAGCTTTCAATCTGACTTATGAAGTCTGTCATTAGAAAAAGCTGATAAACCTTGGACCTTCCAGGGAATCATTCGAACATACTGACGAAAGGATGGCTTCACTAGTTGTGTAGCTGAGGTATTGTTACAGATTGAAACAAGCAATCTCTAAAAATATCAGTACAGAGAAGCTACAGATTACAAAGCTGCCATCATAAGCTATGTACTTTATTTAAGAAGACAACGATATTATACAAGCCTTGAGAATGTCATCTTTATACACACACACACACACAATGAACTGACAAGATTTCCATCCCACCATCTCAAAAGAAGTCTTTAAAAATATTTCTATTTGACTTGTCTTCCCGTGACTACTACAAAACAGACCAAATGTTACAAACAACTTTCTAACTGAATTTGCTATCAAATTACTATTTTTCCTCTTTTTACTCCTTCTTCATATGTTCCAGGTGCTGAACATTTAACAATCCAAGACAGTGGACACATTCTGATATGGAGAGAAGGGGAAAATACTGTATGTTATGCCAAAGACAAAATACGAAGACAATTTTTGCCTGTCCTTGTGAATGTAGTGCCATTTGTAGTTGCTACCAATGCAACAGGCTTCCTTTAAATGGAAATGTGGGCCAGTAATTTTCTTTGGAGACCAACTCCATGATACTGCCTACCAGTCAGTGACTCAGTTGTAAATATATGAGTGCACAGCAGGGGAAAATCACAGACGTCCACCCACTTCTTGGACACCTGTATAGAAAGCAGCCAGAATGCACAAGTTGCCTCAGAATAGAACCTCACAAGGTGCAATTCAAGCCTCTTCCTCTGCGCACAGCATGATCCCCATCTCTTTCTCTACTGGAGCTAGCATTAGTGTGTGCAGGCTATATACCCTTGTACAATATAACTGGGATTCCATAGGTGCTACCCCTATAAGATACTGCCTGCTGCACTCACTGACATTATCATCATCCCTTTTAATAAGGGAATGCCATTAAAAGCCATATTATAACCATTAATTTCTAAAAGGAGTAGTGTAGCACACATGTGGTCAGGAGCAAAAATATACAGATATTTCATTGCCATTGTTTTCCATCTATAAATAACTTAAGTACATGGGTTCTGTTCCACTGCTTTCAAGGAAAAGGGCTAACAAGTAACCGGAATAAATATATATATAGCAACAAACCAGAAACTACAGCTGATAAAAGAAATAGGTTTCAGATATGTGCTGCAAGCTTTCACACTTTAATTGAAGGAGGGTGCTGAATCTATAAAAAGCCTCCATTTCCTCAAATTCTCACCAATTACTTAAATTAAACAGGTGCAAACACAGCAACCTTCTAGATTTTAAACAGTCTGACTAAAAAATCCCTTCCCCTCCCAGGCACTCCATTCAATGTTTTGGCTCTTACATCATTATTTCCCCACTCACTATACTCTTTTTCTGGCTAGAAGGTACCTGTTTCTCATTAGAAACACAAGGAAAAGCATATTTTTTCCGGTCTCCTTTGCAAAGAAAAAATGTCCAATATATTATCTTGGCAGTTCATTTAAGATAGTGGTTCGCAACCTTTTTTGTACCAGGACCCATCTGTAAACCCATCTGATGGCCAGTCCTGACCTAGTATCCCTCGCTCCCAGCCTGTTACCCACCGGCCCCCAGCTCCATGCCCGCCCCCCCCCCCGTTTCTCCTTTAACAGAGGATCCTTTTTTAAAGTTTGTTCATGACCCTTTTGTATATATTCTTGTGACCCCGTTTTGGGTTGCAACCCACGGGTTGAGAAATGCTGATTTAAGGAACTCCTTAATAGAACAACTGCTGAAGATAAGAGTAAGGGCTCCATCAAGTGGTTAAACACTGTACCTTCAGCTGATATAGTAGAAAATACAACAAAGTTCAATGTCAGTTATTTTCAACCACAACTAAACATGTACAAAACAGAGAAACAAATATGAGCAGTGAAAATACAAGCAGCCAAGACACGAACAATAATTTCAAACTTACTACCAACGTGTTACTTAGGCTAAATATGGAAGTTCTGTAAACAGTCAGATATGCATTTTCACCATGCAAGGTCACTGCTTATCAACACATTACTTTCTTTACAAATGTTAAATGAACCCAACAACATTGTTATGAAACAGGTAAATTATTATTCCCAATTTTCATCTTAAAAAGTACATAGGCAAATTAACCTGGGAGTGCTTAACATAACATCCTGCCAACTACATGTGACCTGCAAGGATAATCCCTGTGGCCTCCCATAAATATTTATTACACAACTTTCTATACCCCAAAATTAAACGGATTTCGAAAGCAAACAGCACGTCTTGTATTCTCACTTTATGGCAGTTTCTTAATCAGCAAATGTTGCTGCATTTGCAGTTTCTAGCTTACAAACATGTTGAGGGCTTCCATGAACAAATTCGAGTAGCAGTGGCCCTGCACTGGAAAGTGCATCTTGCAAGTAGCCCTCAATAAAGTTCAGTTGTGCCCCTCTGAGTTAATCAAATGTCCAAGGCCACACAGTACAAAGACAAAGCCAAGACGGAGGGCTCCTGGTTTCTCCTAAAACCATGTAGTTCATCCTGCTTTTCAGGATTTTCTAGTATCTAGACATAACAAACAAGTTGTTTTTGCAATTTATTTTTAATTTCAGATTTTCCTTACTGAGTTAACTGCCTTGTAAACAACATTTTTTCAAATTCAGCTTAAGCTCACATGAGTACAAAACAATTTAGTAAACTCATGACAATCTTCAAGGAAACATTCTTACAAACACAGTTCAGAACTATTTTAGAGCTCTTCACGTCCAGAAGCATGTACAGTAAAGAGAAGAGATGCTATTACACTAGTCAGGAATACCATGTGTAAATGTATCAACGTTGTTTAAAAATTCCTCCAACCTCCTTTTTTCCCCCACCTTTATATCCAACTCCCTTTCCTAATGGCAGCTTTGCTGTAATTTCAATTCGATTATAATCACCTCTTGTAGTCACGTACTGGAAAACAGCTACTGGAGAGGAGTTACTGGGAATCCAGGGCGGACGGGCGTGAGTGAACCATGGACATAAATACACACTTAACTCCTTTTAATTGAGAATCTCAGAGCATTATTTGAATTAGATGATTTAGACAGGGATGACTGTACCTTAGGCAAAAGGTTGGACTAGATCAGCGGATCTCAACCCCCAGGTTTCAGGGGGTTTGTGCTTGAGGAACGAGGATGTGGGAGAGAAGGGGTGAGGGAATAACCGATGCATCAGGGAGGCACGGGGGCGTGTGCTCCCTCTCCCTCTGGATTTATGCACCCACAGCAGGTATGGGGCTGCAGCCTGGGCAGACTGGCATGGGCAGGAGCCACCTCCACAACCTAGCAGGTGGGACCTGTGCGGGCCGGGTGTGAGCCGGGCCCTTTTTTGTGCTCTGCGCGGGCTGTGGCCAGCAGCCCGGGCACATGGGGTCGGAGAGAACGGGCAACACGCTAGAATTAGGCATGGACTCGTAATGGTAGATTTAAAGATTGTTTACTTACACCGAAGATGGTTGTGGTGCAGGCTGGAAAACTTGCTTGAGTTGCAGTTACAAACAAAACAACACGAACAATCACGTGGAGTTTGCTAGGCTCCACGGAAACAGAGCTCCGGATGCCCTGGACAAGCGCGCCACCAAAATAGAAACTTCGTAGATACGTCTTATAAAAAATTATCACTCGAAGACGGAAAGAGGTGGGCAATGGATCAGGTCACCAAACTCCTCTGAATATCACACAGGGTTTCTATTACCCTGCCGTGTACCCAGAGTCCCCACGAGATGGATGTGGAGTCCTCTTCGGCTTGGGCGGAAACTGCTCAAGCCTCTTATATGGCTAGCAGGCCAATCGTTAGCCGCCACAAATTGGCGGGAAATTCTCCCTTGCACCGGGGTTCTCCTCTGCAGCAGAAAACTCCACCGTGCAACGAAGCTGCAATTTAGCGGGAATAATTCTAGTGCCGAAGCACACACAAAATCATACCTTTGGGTTATGACAGGACCCAGGGCAAGAGGGTGGAGTGGGGTGGCGAGACTTGTTGCCCTGCCACTACTGTTACCATCAGGACCCCTGTGCCAGCTGAGCTGCCAGCAGCACAAGGAGTAACGGGGGCCCCACTGCCATGACCTCCTCCTGCTGTCAGCCACTTGCATGCCAGGCCGCAGCTCTACCCCAGAGGCGTGGTGGGATGGGGGGCAGTGCAGGTGGCCTGAGGGGAGTAGAGCTGGCAGCATGAGGAGGTGAGGGCAGTGCGAGGAGGTAAGGGCAGCGCGAGGAGGTAAGGGCAGCACAGCCCCATCCCACCAGTCTGTTAGTTACTCCTCATGCTGCTGGTGACACCGCTGGCACAGAGGTCCCGGTGGCAGCAGCAACAAGTCTTGCCACCCTGCACTTCCCCTCACCCTCGTCACACCCACCTGTCCTGCACACTGGGGGGCACCAAGGTGGGAATAAGCACCAGCAGGGCTGAGGGGTGAAGGATGCCAGCAGGGCCGGGGGCTGTAGGTCAGGAGGGGTACCAGCAAGGCTGGGAGGGTTGGAGGGCTGTGATTTGGGAGTGAGGGACACCAGCAAGGCCAGGGAGCTGCACGTCAGGAGTGAAGGGCACTGACAGGTGGTCTGTGGAGTTTTTATAGCATGCTAGGGGGGCCTCAGGAAGAAAAAGGCTGAGAAACGGACAGTGGGGGCCATATATTAACCTTTCTGGGGGCCACATGTGCTTCACCAATTGTACAGCCCTGGTATAGATGACTCCTGAGATCCTTTCCAGCTCTATTTTTCTATGATTCTACAAACTACCAGCAAAAAAGGTAATACAGTAGAATTACTGCAAATTAAAATTTAGATACATACAGGAAACAAGCCCTCTAACCCAATTTGTAGCACTGTTTTGTCCTTTTCAGCCTTTAGGTGTAAGTTCCAAATCAGAGATTAGAGATAATCGTTCTGTTAGTTATGTATACGCATGTATGCACAGTGCTAACTACAAAGAGACTGAATTTTAAGTGGGACCTGTAAGTGCTGGTAAAACCGCCCAAAATTCACCCACTTTTCATCTCCGTGGGTATGTATCTGTTACAGGAGTATCCAAACAGCACAGTGGGTGGGTGCATTGTGGGCAAATTAAATGTTATCAGGGGAAATGAGCTGCGGCAGGAGAAATGTCACCTCCCACACAAAAACCCTGCCCCCTCTCTAGGGCACAGCAACTCTAATTTCACCGTTTTCAAGCAAGCAATGGCAAGGAAAAGAGTGAAACCTCAGACAGTGAAGATGACTGGATACAGATGCAGCAGGATATGGGACAGACTTGAGTATGTACCTGGTGAAATCTATTTATGCATGAAGTGCCACCTGATAGAGCTCATAGATGAGAAGATATAAGGAGACAAAGGTAGAGTTCAGATGGGGACTGAGGCAGATGAAGAGAAGGATGTCAGAGAACAAGATATGCAGTTACATGCTGAACAAAAAAGCTAGGTGGACACACTTCCTAGGATCAGGGGTTAAATTACAGCCTCCCAGGCTCTTCCACCTGGCCACCACTCCCCACATTGCTCCAGCTGCAGCAGCAGCTGGGATCTCAGGGTTCCCCATGCCTCCAGCTTTCCTTTCTTGCCCCTGCCCTATACGATGGGGTGGTGCAGCACTGCACAGTCCACAGTACCCAAGGGAGCCCACACCCCGAGTACCAGAGAAGCATAGTGCAGTGGGGGAGCTTGAGGCCAGAGTGCTGAGGGTGAGGCAGGGTGTCTGGACTGTATCTAGCCCACACTGCAAACAGGGTACAGTCAATAACGAACAACAAATATTTATTTACTAAGGGGCCCATGCATTGAAATAAAGGCATTAGAACAGGGGTGGGCAATTATTTGTGCTAGAGGGCCACTTACGGATTTTTGGCGAACTGTTAGGAGAGGGGCAACTGATCCTATTCGGCCCACTGGCCACCGTGGGAGCCTGTGGATGCAGAGCTGCACCCCATGCCACTCCGCTCTGCCGCAGCCAGGGGCAGGCGATGCCAGGCTGTGCAGTATGCAGATTCCTCTGTCCCCCTGTATCCACCCCTGCCCAGTTTCCTATTGGCACTGCACAGACTTAGCATCACAGCAGCCAGCATCTGGGCCCACGGCACAACGCAATGTGCTAAGTAGCTGTCCTGACCACACGCCATGATGAGCTGCTGCGCCACACCAAGGAAGTCAGGGGTGGCTGCCCCAGGCTGAGCCCCCACATGTGGCTGGCACAGACTAGTGGCTCTGCAGCAGTTCATTGCGGCAGGCAGGTGGGACAGATGCTTGGCATGCTGCATTGCACCCCATCCTTTTTGAGCTGCTGAAGGTGGTGCCAGAACTGCATAGCCACAGTGCCAACAGGAAGCCAGGTGGGGGAGAATGTTTATAGAGGGAGAGAGAGCTCATCTTTCAGAATAGACTTAACGACCATACTTGTTTACAGGGGTGCACCAATACAGATTTTCTTGACTGATACCAATAGCCCATTATTCACCAGGCATACTGGCCAATACTGATCCAATAACCGATTTACAGGAGCACAGCTGGGCAGGGTGGAGGGCAGTGCCCTGCAGGTAAGTCTGTGGAGGGGAAAAGGTGTGTTGGGGGAGGGGGGGCAGACTGAGGCCCCCACAGTGAGGAAAGGAGTGGGGCAGGGGCAGCAGCAGATGCTGCGGGTACTGCCCAGCCAGGGTGGTGAATGGGACCCCAGGGCCAGGGCAGGGAGCGAAACGGAGCTGTGAGTGACTCATCCAGGGGATCAGCAGCCCGGTGTTTAAAAATGGCCCTTGAACTAAGGCTTGTCAAATGAACTATAGTTCAGGCGCCGCCACCACCATTTTTAAGAACGGGGACATTTGTAACTGGAGCCAAGTGGGACAAGGGCAGATGCAGGCTGCCCACTGCAGGCTTGGGGCTCTCTGCCCTGCCTTTGCCCCATGAGGTGCGTACTGGCCACACGACCCCTGCCCATTTGGCAGTGGTAGGCACAACTTGCCACTTCCACCACGGCCGGACAGACAGCAAACGTGCAGCCACTGCGTGGCTCCTGGGGCAAAGGCAGCAGGGCGGAGAGCCCCAAGCCCGCAGCAGGCAGTCCACATTTGCCCTTACCCCAAGCACAAATCTGGGGGGGGCACATGTCCGCTATTCCTCCCCCAGGGGTGTGCACACAAAAAACTATTCCGGTACAAAAAAAAGCTTGAGAACCACTGTCTTAGAGAATACAAATGGCTAGGACAGGGGGTGTCAACTGGGAGCATGCATACCCTGAGGGCACTTGAGAAGGCCCTATGAGACGTGCAGGCAGGCAGGGACGGAGTGCCACCACGCACCAACCTGTGCTGCCGCGCAGGCGCCACCCACCCGGCTGGGCGTGGGGGAAGGTTTCATGCCACCTCCCCCTTACCCCAACTCTGCATCTGGCCACTGGGGATACACTGCTCTGTGCCTGGCCACCAGGGCTATGCTGATCCGAAAAAGTTGAAAACCCCTGGGCTAGGACTTCGGTTCTTGACCAACTGAACAGTAGCAAACCTAACCCTGCTCAGAAAGCTACCAGAGACACAGTTACAGAAGATTTGTCTTTTGAAAGCAACTACTTGAGGCATTAGTAGACATATTTCATACAGGAAAACAGAACTCAAACCTGGAGAGAGAAAAATGACAATTATCAGCAACGCTGTAATCTAAACTGCAGGATCATACATGAAAAGTTTTGCCAGTAGGCTGGCCAGGACATCTCTGTGCAAAAAAAAAGAAGAAAAAAAAAGAAAAAAACGGGAATTCTAAAAAAGTACAATTAAAGTACACTCTTT